GAATCAATTGAATAAATGATAAAATGTATTGATATTAGCATTTAGATACATTCATAAAGTGGTCCTTTGATGAGTTTGACTTTACTAATGCGGTACCGTATAGTATCAATCAGCAGAACTACGTTGACCATTTGCAGCAGCTTTTCGCTTAATAAGGGGATGGGATGAAATAAGCAAAAAGTAAGTTTTCATGGTATACATCAAGAGCACAATTACCTTCATCATCTAACCATTTGAGGGTAAATTGATGATTTTGGTTAAACTTATAGGTTTTACGGATGACATCACATAATTCATCATACGACGATCGTGAATCCAGATCCAATGATAAAATATCTCTGAAGATACGAACATAAACGATTAAAACGTGAAGAGTTTATTAGTAGTACAATTAATATTTGCTAATACCATCCACTACGAGTAAATAAAATAAAAAACAGAAAACAATACGTAGTATTTAAGAAATCATCAACCTATCAATTACTAATCGATTGATCTTTGAAGCCATATCGTAACAAAATTAACAACAATAACACTACGATCGTTTACTGTACGAAATTCGGTCTTAACTACTGCCTATCGATCGTTTATTAGTCTTAAATCTTGGCTAACAAGAGTTATAATAAAGATCGTATGCAATGTACTAGATTCCGGTCACGGTTATTTTTTCTTTTTTTAACCTCAATATCTTTCGCTATACTTATGGTCATGCCAAAATTAAGATATGATAATTGTCTATTCCAACTCAAATCAAACTTGATAGCAATTAAAATGTAGTTAGTGATAGTATATGACGCATTATTTTGAAATAATTACCCATTGCAAATCGCTTTAGCTTGAATACGATACTCTAATGGATCCATCTTAGTCGTAAAGCTGGTAATTATATCAATAATAAGATTACTTCTTAACTGGCTGTACTAGATCAAGATCAATTTTAACTTGTTGGCAAACAGAATCGTTGCTATGTAGAGGAAAGTGATGGACTATCACGAATCACTGACTGCTTCACCAGTGACTCATCACTTATTATTTACGTAATATCGGGGTCGATCGCTATCGTCAGCCTTTTTTACCGTGGTGCTATCTTGTCAAGTTATGATAATTTTATTAATTAACGACTCAATAACGGTTTCCAACTATACTGTATTAGTGTACCGAACTCGGTACGGTACTGTACTTCAGTAAAGCGATACAGTACACGAAGTACAGTATTTCGTACACAGTACAATACACAGTACTGTACTGTTCAGACTGATACTGTACTGTACTGTGCAAACTGATACTGTACTGTGCAGTGGCACTTTTAAGAAGTCGGATTAGTCCAGCGCTCATACAGTACAGCGTACATACTGTATTGTACAGTACTGTACACTGTACACTAGTCGTACAAGCTGGGGTGTTGCCTGTTTTGAACTGGGAATCTAGCGTATGGGAATAGCAAGACAATCAGCAGACTCGATGTTTTTTTTTCCTCTTTTTCTACCCTACTGGACTGTATGGCCTAATACTGGACATGATATGTACTGTACTATATTTTTGTTCCCATCTATACCAAAAATTAATATTTTCATTCTTATATTTGTACTGCATCACTTGCTGATATTGCAGGTATATACGCGTGTTTAAAACTGCAGTAAAAGTACATTTTTACAGTTTACGTGTTTCGTTGCAACAGTGTACAGTGGACACGTACAACCGTATACTGGCGTACAGTAACCGGTGATTAGAATGGCACAGCCCTTACTCACTTGAAACCAATACCGATGACTACAAATTTATAAATGCATAGGCAGAGCGGCTAATTTCCTAAATTAAATGAACTGCTTTCAGCCAATCTCCAAGGCTATCACTGCATGTCGTCCAAAAACTTATAAGCATCTAAGTAGTCCTACAATATATGCCTTTTAATAATTCATTCTTTTAATACACGCACCCAAACATGCATACAACATCGTTGATTAAGGCTAGAAAGAAGAAATCCTCGCTTGAAAGTTGAAAGTACCCATTTGGTGTCGTATTGCCAGTGAGGTTATTATTTCAGCAATCCTTCATCGACCTCACATATTCCATAATCACATGATATTCAAAGGTGATTTTTACTGCACGCATAGTCTAGCATAAAAGTCAAACTTTTTCTGGTCTTTCAGAGATTTGAATAGCGATATACAGTATACGAGTATACTATAGGTACACTATACTATACACTACTGTAGCATCGTCATACTGCGTGTAAAACTAAATGTCACCCTTTTTTTTCTCTCTTTTTATGCTTTTAAATGGATTAAGAGAACAAGGGGACGACAATTCGTTTTGCACATTAACCCTAAAACACGCTAAATGTTTATGTCCAGGATTAATGAATAAACCGAGCATGATAAGAAATTTTTCTGAACGTAAAACAGCAGCGTAATGATTTTAGTTCAGTATAATAGTTATGTGTTAGAGAATACAGTAGTTCGAGTATCTAGCGAAGAACTGTACGTCTTAACAAAGTAAGGTTAAGAAGCCATTCACTACAGATAGTATTTTAATACAATTAAGATAGTCAATAGGTTATTATCAATATCTAAGAAAGTTTAGCTTATTAGTACTAGCTTATAACCTGTTCACTTGATACAGTCCTCATCGCCCTGCTCAATATACATATTTTACAGCATTATAGCATTATTCTCGAGATTAGAGTTAACCGTATAGGATCGATGCGGTAAGTTATCTGTGCCACCAATATTGCAATGGTCATTACAACATGCTAGTTCTGACGGTATTTCATATCCAGATATAATACTTCAATAATTTATTTATGTTGAATATCAACTGCGCATTAGTCTATTCATGTGCTGGCAGCAATAGAAATAACGTAACATTATAACGTATTAATAGAGTACCATGAAATTTAACTGGTTTACAATGATAAACAGTACACGAAACGAGGTAACAAGAGAAACAGCACAATGTCAAAGGCCACAAATGGCCAGGTGTTCATTTTTATAGTCTAACGAGCACAAGGAGTAGCAGTTATGTGGTAGCAAAGCCATATAAGGCAGGATATTGTTCGATGTACTACAGTCAGTACGGATGGAAAAGAACTGAACTTCAATTATTGCTCACTTATAATGTAGTTCATCTTTGACGGGAATATATAATTAGAGAACATTTGAGAACTTCTCTCTAAAAAATAATAATAAGTAATATCAGTCACTGTAGCCTATTTGTATTTCTTATTTTGCTAATACTATACTTCTCAGCAAGCAAGGTCGATCGCCTTTTACGCAATTCTGTCATAAAAGCTATTATCATTACTAGATTAGTAGGGTAAGCGACTAAGGGCTACCCAATCTATTTTATCGATATGCCAGATTAACTGCAAAAGAATTAAATTTAGGGACATTACTTGTTAACATACTGTATTCCTGAAATTGTAATTTTTCAAAAGGATTATCTCTGTCTGCGATGATATTATCCACAGTAGTTGCATTCTACTACTTTACTTTTCCTCTCATCATCGGCATCTTTGAAGTGATTATCTAGGCAGAACAATTCAAACTATCATTTTGATGCATATTTACATTCTAAATAGTCATATACTACTTTTTTATTAAATTAGAGATAACGCAATTTGAAGAAAAATTAAATTTCGAAAGAAATCTTTCATGTTCTAGGAATATTCTAGAATAGAATGTATAACACAAGCAGTTTTATTCATGCTCTCGCATGATTGGAATTCTTAAATCAGCTACTATTAAAAGAAGCCATATTTTGACTTCGTATACGAACTATAACTGATGGAACAGTGGAGAGTGCGATCCTGTTTTTTTTATTATTGAAGCCAACAAATGCTCAATATGATAGATTTTAAGCTATTAATTGGGAAATTAAAGACTTGTATTCTATCGCAGTAACCTAGGTATCCAATCTAATTTACTATTCTGATTCTACCATACACTATATAGATTGCATTAAAATTGCTATGCTTTCATAAGCTGAAAATAAGGATTCCAATAAAAAAAATAGTAAAATAACTAGAGTTAAATAATTTATTAGTCAATGAATATCAATTATACCACTTGATTACAATCTAATTCATTTTATTTTTGTTTGGTTCCTCCTGTTCTATTAATGCTACGGATATTTTTAATCGATATATAAAGATGAACAATAGTATAATTGATGATAGCTATTCATGATGTCAACAATGTTGGTGATCATGATTAGACACATGGTCAATTATAACCATATAACTAACTCATCGAAAAACGACTACTGTCATTTTTTTTATTAAATCTGCATTGGCCGCCTTTGTAGTTCAATTTATAGATCTATTCAAATTAGGTATTGTCAGTTGAACCACGTAAAAGAGTTGTTTCTACCTTTTATTTCAACTTGAATGTAAGACGTCATTCAATCATCACTTCCTACTATCAAGGAATTAATAAAATTGACATCAGTGTCTCGAAAGTACTAATATTGTTCACCTTTTGTCTTATATTTAGAAGGTTATCATCATCGCTTGATTTTCATTTATATTTGTTATTCAATTGCTATCATATTTAACCAATTTCTACTGCAGACTCAACTGAACGGATATATCATGCTTAGTGCTAATCATTTTGGTTAGCCTTTATAAGTGTCGAACATCAAATTCTTTAACAAGATTCTGTTCCAAAATACTACATCAGTTGTGAATAGATACTACAAATTTATCGTATTTTAAATCAGTAATGGCGACAGCGTCGGTCATTTGTGGCAGTAAAGCGTCTAATCATGGTAATTTAATCGAGGATGACGATCAATCAAAAGTCGAAATACGAGGTAAAGGTAAAAATTAGTTTCTATCTGTTATTATATCCAAATCGTACAATTTTAATTCTACTTTGAGTGAGATCAAAGGAGATCAGTTTACTTTTTAGGTTGAGTTAAAATGTTTATGGGCTTGTTCTTATAAAAATATTTCTTTGTACTTAATCTAAATTCATAATTTGGCTTTTAAAGTTCTCAAGAAATCTCTAAATACGAGTAAAGTTGTCAAATAACATTTTGTTAGATAGTAAAGAAATTAAAAATGTTATTTTATGTTAATAACTAACGTTATTAAGGTATTGATCTAACTTTGTGTGCGATTAGTAGTCAATTAATTATACAAAAATAAGAAAAAAAGTTTCTTTTCCTTCCTATTATTAGCTATCTGTCGATGGATTTCACTACTGCAAATACAGCATCATACGTAAATGTACAGTAATTTACAGTTGAAATAGTAATATCTATTTCTTAAATATCTTGTATTTTGCATTCCTTAAGTTAATTATCAGTGTTTCTATAAATTTTAAAGTACGGTACTTTATTGAAGTAGTTTATTAATGAGATATTCATACTTTTGCCTTTAATGATTATTTTCTCGTTACTCATCCTCTTATTACCTCTTAAACTACCCTTTTCTAACCGCATTGCGAGATATTTTTATCGATTAATATTTATTGAAATATAGGATTATCGGATATGGGATTACGTTACATTAATTACATACGCGTACATACTAACAGGAACCTTAAAGTTCTATCATCTCTCCCGATGGATCAGCTATCAGGATTATCGGCTAAATGACTTTACAGCCTTCAAGTTTAGTTAATTTTTGATGATGTAGTTAGTTTGGTTATTATTTATGACTCGTACCTGGTTACTGTTGCACCTCTTACCATTTTTAAATTGGTCATTCTGATCTATGATTAGTGAGAAAGATACTACTGCATTGCTATGCATTTAAAATTACAGATACTGTTCATATCTATCATAACATTTACTGTATACTGTAGTTGCAACAGTGGCATTAAAAAATCTTCAGAATTGTAATGTAGTAATTAGCATCATTTATAGATCAATAGTAAGAATACATGAAGTAGTTAAATTAGCTGCATGTTTTTATTTTTTTATAGCTTAATAAAGTTATTTTAAACAAACTATATTAGAATTTAACTTTAAAGAAGTTGACTATTATAATTAGATCAACTCATCCAACTCGTATATTTTCCATGATCTTACTAAAATGATATCGCTGATTGTTGATGGTAGCTTGATTTATTAGAATTTCTGAACCACTATGTAACAGCATTAATCTTTAACAAAATCTAACGCTACCTTTATCAAAATAGCTTTTGAACAGTAGTTGATGCAGATTTCAAAGTAATGCTACTTCACAACTACACTATTAATTAAAATACTTTTTCTCGAAGGAATTTAGACAATTAAATAATCTATTCATATTTAATAACAGTACAATTTTATAGAGTGCCATATTGTTCAGATTTACATCAAGCATATTAAGTATGCATACCATTTTCTCATCTAATGGTATTTACTGAACTGATTAGAAGAATGTAATAGCCCATTGCAATCTTGATCTAACAAAATGCGCTATTGTGATTAAAAGTGAGAGTAACAACTTTATCATCAAGTATTTTAATGTAAGTCATTGGGTTTAATTAGAAACTGACACCCATTTATTGCCTATCAGTTATAGGATAAAATCAAATGCATCAGTATACTAAATATGACAACGTCAGTCAAAATTGATCAACTTAGAAATTTACTGCCTGTCACTTCTTAAGACTAATTTTGGAGAGATGAGAAAAATTAGCTAAGTTTCATAAATAAGCAGAAAGGTGTACTTTATTTCATTTACCGCTAAACAGAAGATGCCATTTCCTGATTATTTTTAATTTTATTGCTTCTATGATGCTAATGACAAGAAATTGAAGATATGTCATTTATATTTAGTTATTCTATCTTACCGATAGTTTATAAAATATGGTTTGAAGCGGCTTGCGATAATGATATTGCAACATTGAAAGAATGTCTAGCTGATGGTGTAGACATGGAAGCATTGGTTTGCGATAAAGTGCCCAATTTTCGTTACAAGATGTGGAAAAATAGCGATAATCCTGCTTTGATCTTAGCTGCAGGTTGTGGGTGTCAAGAAGCTTGCGAGTTTCTATTACAGATGGTAAAAAATATTACTGTTAGAACATCATGATTTTAATTTTTTTATTTAAGTTAATGAAATAGTTGCATTTATTGTGCCAAACATGATTTATGTATACAAATACCTCTCCTGATGCTAGCTTACATCGATTATCCGTGAATTATACGCAATAACTGGAAACATTCTAGGATTGAGATATTGCAATGCCATAAATGCCGTAAATCAAAAATTTTAATTTTAGTTTGTAAGAGATCTAATCAATCAGTATCTAACAATTTAAGTAAGTATGTACATCGGTGGCATATTACAGTACTTTGTAAACTGGCAGATTCATCTTTTCTCATAATATTAAAGTATGTACCTTGTTAATTACTTAATTCGACGAAATACTCATAAGTGTACGATTGTTTGTAATTCATTTATGCCATCATAAGAATGGATTTAAACTTAATAGTGTACTTTATAGCCATACAAGGCTTCTTTTACAGATATTGTTCATTAGTATTCCCCTGTAAAAGATTAGCAGCATTTGCTGATAAGGTTTTATTCGGTATACAGTATACCAAAATTATTACACTTAGGTATATCTGGCTTTTTAATAAATGTCGTAAACATCGATGTGACTAGAAGGGTTATTTATAGTATTACTTTGATATTGCTGGTGCATGATATAATTAAAAATTTAATTTCCTATTGCGTTATCCTTCTGTATCCACAGTGTTGTTACTATGGTATGCCAGTACATCTCGCTAGTATCTTATAGGGATACGAGTAATATACAAATCCTGCACCAAACTTACGATAATACTTACTGAATGTAGTATCTTGTAAACACTGCTACTGATATTACTGTACAAATATTTTACACGTTTTCTTTACCTGCTCAAGCATAATAGGGAACGTATTTTGATTCCTTCTATGATAATAATTACAGGGTGCAGACATAAATGCTGTCAGCAAGGACGGTTTAGGAGTACTACACACCACAATATTATTGGGCCAATTGGAAATGGCACGTTATTTTATAGCGAAAGAAGCTGATATTGACTTGTGTAGTCCTGATGGTCAGACACCTTTGAGCCTTGCTATTATGCTAGGACACGACGATTTAGCTGAAGAACTGATTGAAAATAACGCTAATTGTCAAATTCGAAACAGAGAAGGTTATAGTGCTTATGACATTGCTATAATGTTGGATAATCAAAAAGTCGTGGATTCACTTATTGCTCATGATATGGTAGATTGCAATGATGATTCAACTGAGCCAACTACATCAAGTAAGTAAATAAATATTTCAATGGAATGAACTCTTCACACATTATTGGATTTAATATGCACTTTAAGATTAATTTTAGTCGATGTAATTATCAGATTAAGCATAGAATTGTGATAGCTAGTTTAGGGTTATCTAAAGCGATAAATTAGTCCTTTGGATTTGTAATTGCTATCTCTATGTAAAGGGAATCAATTCTACTTTGCCTACAGCTAATTATCTTATATACTTAGCCTATAGGAAATGGTTCAATGCAGCTTGCGAGAATGATCTGAAAGTGCTCCAAAAGTGTTTAGACAATGGCGTCGACATCGAATCAACTCCAATTGACAAAGTTAGTAGTTATTTTAGCCACGATGATTGGAAAATTGATAAATTGGAATTACCACTATATCCAGCTTTAACAATAGCCGCCATGTGTAATCATTTTGAGACCGTTCAATATCTTCTTGATCAAGTGAGTTATTAATATTTTAAAATACTGATCATCATACCTATATAATTATTAACGAATATAATAATCACATTGTCGTCATGACTAGCCACTTCATTTATAATATAAATACTGTAGCATATTTTTCAGTAAGTCATCCTTTAATATCTCATCAAATGTGTGTTATAGAAATAAGCTAACGCAATATTTGCGGTTTAACTTTACTTTAATTTTGTTGCGTTATAGGGTGCCAACATCAATGCTGTAGGTAAAAGGATTACTACGGCTCTACACTTAACGTTATTATCAGATGAACAAGAAATGGCTAGATTTTTGATTTTAAAAGGCGCCGATGTTAACTTATGCGATCGTAATGGTATAACGCCACTATTTATGGCAACGTCAAGTAGTAATTTTGATATGGTCTATCTATTGGTTTTGGCCGGTAGCAATTTAAAAGCGAAAAATGGAAGTAAATGGTCTATTGCGGCTGATCAAGCAAAGTCACTTGGTCATTTCGGTATTCATCTATTTTTAGTAGAAGATGCACCGAAAATTGTTAAGCAATTGCAAAGATATCAAGATGAATGTAAACGACCTGATAAAAATACATACGAAATCAAGAAGAAACGTACGTATATAAAATATATGGTACTAATTTTATAGCTATTGCAAGCCAGGGTACCGATATACAATTAAGGCTTCACAACTAACCGTGTAAATTTGAGATACCGAAGTAACCTTATACAGTATTAAATAGATTTCTTAAGAGATAATTTAGTTGCAGTTTAAGAGTTATAGCGGTTTGCTTCCGTTTATAAGAAGTTGACAGATGATCAAAGATATGAGGAATAATTATATTGCCTTACATTAAATTTACTATTGATGCTAAGATTTCTTGCAGCCGGTGATAATGCTTTAATTGCTTTTGCTATATCATGTCTAAGAATACAATATATATATACGTTTTTACTCAAGATGTCATATCACTTCTGTTGCAGGCTCTCAGAGGATATTATTTTCCTTTTCTATGCATGATCATATGAAAATACTGAAAGTTATTCGATTTTTAGAAGCTCGTGGTTATGAAATCCGAGAAAATATTTTTACCTCTACGATATTAGATAGTATGCAAATATTATGTTATTTATGATATAAGCATATCGGAAGTGTCATCATTACTCGTATTTATGCAATTTTTTTGGTAATCTACAATATTGATAAGCGAATTTTATGCTGTGTAATGATTATGCAATGTACAGTAGTTAGTGATAATTATTGAGATGATCAATGTAAAGTGAATAAGATTACCATTTAATACTGGTAATTTTAATCGACCCTTTGACTTAAATATTGTCATAAATACTCTACCAACGAAATGCAGTTCTACTGTTATTTGTCGTTCGTTCCATTAATAGTATTTATCACAGATTGGTAGTATTCCTACTTGCGTTCTTAATATTTATTAGTAAAGTTTTAGATTAATTTAGCTCAGCATGCTATACTTTCATTTCATAGCCTAGGTCTTTGAATTGATGCGGTAATATTTACAAACGACCACAGTCTTGATAGATCGCTTATTTATTCTCAACAGCAATGACTAACGCAAAGCTTTTCTTCTTATTTCAGTGGTCAACTCAATTCAAAATTGCGGTGTTATTTGTATGGTAATGCCGAGTCGAGTTGAAGAAGTGTCTAAATTTCGTTTAAGAGTAGAATATGCACGTTTATGCAATCGACCTCTGTTGGTGACTTATTTTCAAAGCCCAGATTGCCTAGAGTATGGATTGAAGTTGATTATTAAAGAAGAGTGTATTATTAAGTTAATACCGGATGGAAATGATACAATAACGGTTAATAGTCCTATCTGCAGTCAAATTCGATCATTAACACGACTAAACATTAACGATTGTACACAGATTAACAAAGAAATGTTCACTAGCTACGATATCATCGGTCAGTATAACATAACATCTAAAATCAGAAAATGTGCCCTGCCAGTTGACGATAGCTGTGATATCGATAGCTTTGTGGTAAATCATAATCATGACGATAAGAATATTCAAAACGATATTGAGCAGCGTAGGCATCAATTAATTGTTAGTAAACCTAATAGCGTTGAAATTGTAATTTCACCACCAAATGCTGAACTAGAAAAAGCACATAATATCGAGAGAGAAATGCTATTAATGTCGAAGTATTACGATAGTTTAAGTCGATCTGATTCGCTGCCGGCTAAATTGTCGGATGGAAATTACAAGCAGCAAAAAACAACGAATATCCAAAATAATCATAGTTCTGTTACAAAGAGTAATTTTAAAAACGAAACCATCATCGAATCATCTTGCGTTAAATCACATTATGATCTAGATAATGATGTTCAACAAGCAAATATCGAGAATGGTAAAACAAAAAATCCAGATAGTGAATTTAATTCCACGACTAATCAAACTGAATGTGAGGAAACGTCAATCAAAGATTTGGATGAATGTCGCAGTAGTCTTGATAAAGTTTGCGATGATAATAATATCCAACAAGATCAAGAACCGTCTCATCACCAAAAACGTCGTCATCATCATCATACGAGTAAACATGAATCTAGTCGACATCGAAGTAATTCTATTAAAGAAAAGAGAAAAAGGATGCGATCAAAAGTAATGAAAACCAGCCAATCGAATGATGATGATAGTATGTATGAGGGATTAGATGACACTAGCGGTAAAGAAACGAATTTTGATAGTCATGATAATTCTTCAGATTTTGCAACATCCCCGCCAAGTTCATTTGATATGTTCAGCGATCGAGAGAGTATATCCCGTTCGCCAAGAGATTCACTTTACTCTCTTAATTCATTCCTGAATGGATATTATAGCGAAAAGGATGATGATAAATTAACTTTAACTGCAACTACAGTTAAAACTGTAACCAAAGTTAGCAACGGGACGATGATAACTTTAAATAAGTACCAGGATGATAATGTTGATGATAGACAGATAGAAGTCGATAAAGCTCCAAATGACTTACCATTAGAGCCAGATGCTCAAGATAACCATCATAGTGAGCAAGATATTTCCAAAATCGATATTGCCGTCAATAACAGCATCGTCACAATATCGAAGAATCCTGTTTCTTTTACCCTAGGTTGCGATTCTGATGTCGAGTCACCGAGCGGAAATCATTTATCGGATGATCAATGCAGCCCAACAGTAAATGATTCACTAAATCATCAATCTACTATCCCACTAATCTGTATAGACGAAATTAGTGCATGTTCACCTTCGTCTACGCTTAATGAGACAATTTATAAGCGGCATTCAGGGCTGAAAAATAAAGTATTCAATGATGAATCAGGTTAGGCAAATAAAGTAAAAAAAAAACAGTTGTACTTGTTATATAATGACAAGATTTTGTTTTTAAAACTTGATGCTGCATACCAAATTTCTTGAAACATATTTAATAATCCAATCAGCACTTTACTAAAATAGTTTATCCGTTTTTAGAGATTATCAAATGTACTTTTAGATTTTTATTAATTTTGTAAAGAACCAAAACTGTTAGTACCGCTAAATGCTATTCCTCGACTATTAGGATTTATTTTTATCAATCAATCACTGTATATTAAATTAAGAACAATGATACAGTCTGCAGTTCCAGCAACGAAAATATTAAATTAATGACTATGTATGGCCTAGTAGGCATGCAAAGCGCAAGAGGATTAACTTTAATAATTTAAGAGTCTAGTCTGTCTAGAATAGCTCGAGCACATAAAAAGCATCAACTCTGTATTTCTATTAATATAGACATAGTTGAAGATGTGTGATATTATTTATTTACTTTAGGTTTGAATTTTCTGCAATGGTCCTGTGATGACGTCGTCAATTGGTTGCAGGAAATCACTTTAGCTCAATACGATGAGAAGTTTCGCGCTGCTGATATTGATGGGATTGCTTTATTCGAGTTATGGAAATCTTCTGTGGCTTACAGCCCCATCGAATTTCACCAAGTGCTAAAAGATAGTGGTGTATTGTCTCCTGGGCATCGATTAAAGTTGAAACATCACCTACATAAGCTAAAAGACTCGTTTGATGGCTCACTTTAGCGATTTTATATCAATTATAGTTGTAAATGCTAGCGGCACTTTGTGTTTTGAAGAAAGTCAATTTTAAATTATCGCGATTTTTGCTACTCCTGTATTACTATCATATTGATATTCGATCTCATGAGCCTAAAAGATTGTTATATCTAGTGAATGATAACTACTGTTATATAATCCTTGAAAAATCATTTGAACCAGGCTAGGTTAATTCTAATTTATAAAAATTCATGAATATCATATTTGAGCTTTGAAACCTACTGTACTATTCTTGTAATCCTATATTTAAATGAAATGAATTAATAAAAAACAATGATAGCCTTAAAACCTCAACAGAATCTCATCGTATACTATAACGACAGTGGCACGGGAATGGGGCTACCGTCAACATTGGTGCACATTGCAAGTCACTGCTGTATAATGCACAAACAGCTTTCACAATTATAAGATCGACTGTTTTATCAATTTTTTTTCTTTATATCTGCATTATGCCTATCTGTCTAATCTAGCTTCTATGTGACTTTAGAGATCGTTGACATATTGGATAATTAAGAATGAAAGTGAATTCTTCCCCAATTTTCTGGCAGAGTTAAGTATTATATCATTATTATTGGTCAAGTAGCACTAGAGCTTTTAGTTGGGTTACTCCCCAATTTTTCAGCGCAATGTTCAGCTGCACATCCATCGTGCCAAATTATAATAATGAATTATAATAGCATTGTCAGCGGCTAGCCGATACATTGAATCTATCATCAGCAATGTATATTGGTAAGTGTCCTAATATTAAGGATTTTATGAAGTGTATAACATGCTAAGTACATTACTGCAGTCTTCAAAAAGGCTATCATTGGAATGAAGTCGTTGAGTCAAGTATTATTTTATTATTGATCCAGTAGCCGTAGAGCTTTTAGTTGGGTTACATAAAAGCAGTGCTTTGCTGCATGTTAATCGTTGCAAATGATAGTAATAGTACAGTACAGTATAGTCAGCGGCTAGCCGATGGTGCTTGCAGAGAAGATTCTTGCAGCCTTAAAATGGCAATCGTTGGAATTAGGTCTTGGCATTCATTCTGGTGCCACTAGTTTTATTTATTAAAGGCAAGTTGAATACAGACTTTCAGCGATGATATATTGACAGTTGATATAACAAGAATTCATAATATTATTAACCTTTTAATTGTACAGTACAGTATCGTCACTACTGGTACAGCGGTACAATTCAGCACGTGCTAAGTACCTCTCTGTGCATACGCACCTCTATGGTTACACAACTCACGTTGACCTTGCAACATACAGTACAGTACTCTGTACACTGTACACTGTACACGGAGCGTCTGGTACTGTACTGGTTTTTTAGAGGCCCTGATACAGTGTACAGTACAGTACAGTACTGTACACTGTACAGTAGTCTCGTCCGTATTGTACTGTACAGTATTGTGCTGTGTAGAGTACTGTACTGTACAGCAAAGACCTCTGATATGGTACTGTACTGTCGTTGCAGTGACCGGCGTAACGGCCTTGCTCATCAACCAGTAAAAATGATACCAGTGAACAATACAGCAATACTGAATCTTTACAGGACCGTACTGACACTGTAATCCAAAACTCCAACGACGATCATCGTGCGTTTGCCTACAGGAAAAATGGCTGCTGGTCCGGTGACTGAAAGAAATCAAGGTTAGTAAAACCTTCCCTGCAAAGAATAATCATGTCTGGTGCCTATTACATTTTATATTTAGACGTACTGTAGATTGATCTAGCATATGCTTAAAGTAATGCGCCTCAAGGATACTGTCGTACTTTGTATTGAATAGATGCAACCATTTACGTCGGTAATCTGGATGAAAAAGTATCCGAAACGCTTTTATGGGAATTGTTCTTGCAAGCAGGCCCAGTCGGTAGGTTCCATTTATTGCAGTATCATCTTATCAATTCATCCTATAGCTTTCAATGCGTTAATGCAACTACCGCAATAGTTATATATTTACATAGACGTGCAGTGAATAAGTTCTAGGTAGATTTCAATCATAAATCACATTTATGCATGAGTAGACACCATACTTGATTAAAACTTCTCCATGGTGAAGCGTCAATAAATGAACTATTCAGGCAGCGATATAAATATCGTTGCTCTTTTCCTTTCAGCTATAAAGGAAGTTCTCTTTTTGTATTAGATCAAATGTATTGCTTTTTCAGACATATTATGCTGCTCTATTGCTAATTGGGGAGAACTTTAAATTGTCATAATTAGAATTAGTATTATGAGCATCAACGTTATATACGTTCTGCTAATCCATTCAGCTGTAGGATTGACGTAAGAGTATATCGATGTTTTATTACCGCTCACAATAAAGTACACATTACGGGATCAAAATAATTGAATTGATCCCTATTACTTTAAGCCTAGTAGTAAAGATCTTAAAACTTGATATTAGCCGGTGTAGCTGTGTAGTAGTAGTAGTAGTAGTAGTGAATGCTCAGTTGCTCATGCACTTTTCAACAGTGTAATTGTACTATATATTGGATCGTCCTTATTTCAAACTCAAAACACTAACTCAGTTCGATTAGTTAGTTGGTCATATTCAGCTGGTTTTTATTGGATGAAACTGTTCAGTTTACGTCTATAGTACTATAAGGTAGTATTAGAATAGAATGTATATGTAATAGATTATTATTGTACTGTAGTACTGTATTTGTTATCTTATATTCTCTATTCTCATTGCAACAACTTGACATTTATTCCCTTATTACACAGTCAATGTACATATGCCAAAAGACAGAATAACCCAGGCACATCAAGGCTATGGATTTATCGAGTTCTTAGGGGAAGACGATGCTGATTATGCTATTAAAATAATGAACATGATTAAGCTATATGGAAAGCCAATAAGAGTAAATAAAGTAAGTTCATACTATGTTGTGTGTGTTGGAGATGCAGTTCCTGAAGATTTGTGAGAATAGGGCTAATTAGCGTTATGAATGAAATAAGATCTTATTTTCTTTTTTCACAGGCTTCTGCGCATAATAAGAATTTAGATGTTGGTGCAAACGTTTTCATTGGTAATTTAGATCCAGAAGTAGACGAGAAACAGCTGTATGATACTTTCAGTGCATTTGGTGTAATTTTACAGACGCCGAAGGTAACGTATTTCATTAGTCAAGCTGATACTTTTTTTATTTTCATACGTAATGATGACAATTTTTTTCTAGATTATGAGAGATCCGGAAACTGGACAATCGAAAGGATTCGCTTTTATAAATTTTGCTAGCTTTGATGCCTCAGATGCTGCTATGGAAGCTATGAATGGCCAATTTTTGTGCAATCGTACGATAAATGTGTCATACGCATTTAAGAAAGATTCAAAGGGCGAACGCCATGGCTCGGCTGCAGGTATTTCAATCTGCTACGCAGCCACTAACACGTTGAAGATTGAATTATTGATATTTGCCAGTAAAGTTTTAAATTTATGATTTTGTTTGCAATAGAGCGTTTATTGGCTGCTCAAAATCCTCTGGTACAATCGGATAGACCTCACCAGCTTTTCGCTGATGCTCCTCCAACATTTACGGATAGTAGTAATACTGGTAGTGCTGCCCCGCAAGTTCCTCCCATAGTACCTCCAGTAGCTCCAGTGTTGCCAGTAATGGAACGAATTCCACCTAGTATGCCGCAAATGCCACCGCCGCCAATGGGTGGAATGCTTCCGCCACCACCGACCATGTTTCCGCCCCCTCCTCCACCCGGTTTTCCTGGTGGATTTCCCAACATGCGTCCTGGCTTACCTCCACCACCTCCAGGATTTGCTCCCCCTCCTCCACCAGGTGATTTCATATCTTTTAGTAGTTAATTGTATTGTTAACTAATAATTAACGTTTGCGATTTTTAGGTGAACTTGCTCCACCAGGGACTTTAAACTAGTTCAAAGACGGGTTACTTTAATTTTTTAATCCCGTCGCCAGTCTTTCATTTTACCAGTCAATTATTGTGTACACTATACCACTAGTATACAGGATTAACTTCCTAAATCTTTAACGGATTTGTAGCGCCTTACGAACTTGATCGATATAAATATTTGTATATAGTATGATTATGGCCTACAGATTTTCCTCCAGTCTCGTCCTTGCACTGTATTAAAATATGATCTGTAGAATTGCCGTGAAGGTGGCATCGGCTTCGAATAATATTTATGTATTTTGAGTCAATAAAAAATTGAAAATGCCTGTGATGTAATTGTTATTTATTTTAATGGCTTTATCGGTAATACTTGGAAGAATCAATTCAAGGTATACAAAATGCAATCATAATAGGATCGCGTAATATACAGGAGTAAGAACACAATTAAGAATGGTGCATAATTTGAAATATTTTAAGGAAGACTAAGAAACCTGCATAGGCAGAGATAGTGAAATCGAAGTTGTAGAAAACGGAGATAAATACATTTTCGTCATAAGTTTACATTTCGCCGCATTGGGTAATAACTACCGGTAACTTTGGTCTGTTATTCGGACCCGTTGGAACATTCTGTAACAATATGTTGTTACATGATCAGATGCAAATATAGATTAAAATTCGAAGCACGAAAAAAACGAAAGTAAACAAATATTCTATTCTAGGATAGCCACGATTAATGATGAGTCCATTTACTAGAAATCAATATTATAAATACGACAATTTATCTGATAAAGAGTGAAAATACATACCTCAATTTTTCTTAGTATTAGCATACCATCTAGAACACGTCCTAATAGGAGAAGTATATTAAGATGATCAGGCACTCATAATGTACATGTAGCTTGTGATACAGTACTAACTTATAATTCATGCTACTATCTCTGAATGTTAAATAATGATATCACTAGAGCACAGTGATAATATTACACACATCACTCATAAAGATTTATTACCGAAAACAACGTGCTTTCCATCCAAGAATTCACATTTCGTACAAGTTATAAAGAACTAAAAACAGATTATATTTATAATTTTAGAAAATGTTAAGCTAAATCGCTCTATGAAGTAATTAATCAATAGCAAGCGCAACCAACTAAGCATACGGTATTACTACCTGACAGCCATTAGTACCGGGACCACTGTTAGCCTATCATAAAAGGAAATATTGTCAAATATTGGGAAAGAGTCAATATTATAGAGCGTCGTACGTCTAATATTGCAGGAGCAGAACTATTATTGTTAAACTATTTCAAATCAGCTAAATATGCTTTGAACTTGCCATGGAAAGTATGCCTGCGGAGACATGCTTATGCTCAAAGTTTTCATCTTTAAAGTTAGTTTCGTTGTAGATGCTGAAGACGCCAGTTCCATCTCCCTAATATATTAGCACCATATTATATGATCGAATAGTATTAAGGTGTCAAATTATAATGCTCATATACGATCAAATCTAGAATTAATTCATTCAAATCATGTACTACTTATGAAACTGATTATAACTGGTTGCATAATTATGATAGCTTACATACCTTGACAAAGTCGCCACCTTGAACCATAAAATCTTTAATAACTCTAGTATCAATAATTAAAGTAAGAATGCATGTTACATTAAAAATATTTTATAGGCTAGCTTTGTTAGTACGATAAAATAGGCATAAATACCTACAACACCCATAGATTTTTAGTAGACTCAGCTAAAAGTTTATTGCATATGGGAGCATTTTATACACAATTTCATACCTGTGAAATTGGCATTCTTTATAACCAACAGGGACACCTGCAGTCCTAAAAGATTGAGTTTGAAGAATCACTAAAATATTAGGATTGCATGCTCGCGAGGTAAAAGCTTAACGATCATCAAAATTAGTTATGTAGCAATCTTTCAAATATTACTTTACCTGTATTCTCCTGTACAAAATTGCCTGCAACAACAAATATCCATTAAGAAATATTATGTTAAGGGAAGCAAGTTACAGATCAAACTCAATTTAACTATTAGCTCTTAAAATTTGATAACAACATTAAATTTTTGAAGAGAAATTTGATTACTGCTAGGTTAACGAACCTAAAATTTTCTGCTGTTTTCGGTACAGCATCAGCAAATAGTTCCATCTTCATTCTACCTACTTCCTAAATGTATGCATAGAAAATTTTTATAACGAGAAACTATACCTAGATTTTCTCCCAAATTTGAGAAGATATTATTTATTTACCAACACGCATGATTTACATATTTAGTCATCGATAGGATTTTATATTGCAGTTTAAACTAACTCTGTAACTTTAAAGTAGAAGTTTGAAAAGCTATTTTAAAATTATGGTTGACGATAACGCTATCTTCGGTGGCGGACAGGGTAATCCTATTACGCATTAATATGAAAATGACGGTGTTACTATCTAGGTACTGCTGCACTCCTCTGTGCTGGTGATCGCTCTGTTAACAGTTAGAGTACTTTACTCTGCCGTATACATTAATGATGAAATGATAGCATGCAATAGTAATATTTGCAAAGTATGGATCGGGCTGAAGTGCGCAATAAAAAGAACTCGTTAACATTGGTCACAATATAGTTACAAATTACCAATTTCAAATACTGTTCCATGTTAAATTAAGTATTGAGAATTTAGAATTATTATTGAAATACTCGTAGAACGAATATACGTATACTTGTACAGTACAGTACATGTTTAAGGACATGACGATACAATCTTCTATTCGACTGATCTTATCATAGCCTGATGAGAAGATGGTATAAAATCTTGCTGCACATGCTAGCTATAATTCTTAATAATAAATAACGATCTCATATACTACCTAAAGTACGTTGAAATCAATTTCTAGCAAATAACTGGCCTCGTTAAAACAGTCATACAAAATGCAGAATTCATAAATTATGATAATTCAAAGCCGTCACTTTTACCTGACCACCAATAGAAATATCGAAGAAAACAATAGGATTTGAAGGATTACTCGGTGCTAAAGCCATAGCAAATTTCTTAACTATTTCGTAGATTACTTGCAAGGAAATCAAGTTAAACTCAGGTAACTATTGCAAGTTATTCAGCTTGCTGTAGATATGTCCAAGTTGTCAGCTCGATTGTTCTGAAGTTGCCCAGTGGCTATACAATCGGAGACCGTTCAGTATGGTGCTGGTACTGGAAACGGTCTTCGGGCCAGCATAGTAAAATCGTGTGCACCAGAAGCAAACGCGCATGACGGAAGCCTTGCACCCAGCTGCAGTACAGTACTACTAATGGTTGTACTGTACAACTGTACACTGTACACTGTGCTGTCACTTCATCTTTCACATGGGCGTTGGGCAGTCGATAATAAAGGATGAAACCATAGAAACGGTAGGTCTGTTTATTCGCATTTAGCTCCTGCACCATCTTCATCTGTTCAAGACACTGTTTAGGATACTGACCTGTAGAGCAGTGCGCAACTGTAATGTGGCTGAGTGCTAATTATATTTACTATTAACGACTTTAACGAATAGTCGAATAACTAGAAAAATTTGAAATTCCAGTTCATCAATAATCAATCTAATGTCCAGTAACGTTACCCACCTACTGTAAATATTAAGCCAGCAGGCTCGATTTACTGGACCAATTTGAAAATATTTCCAATACAGGAAGAAAGCGTCAAGATAATAAGATTCTACGGGTCTTGATATTCAAGTTTGACTGCGGTAGTAGCACCTTCCAGTAAGTCTCAGGCGTCAATATCAGTGTATGTGAAGTAAGATAGCTTAGCTTAAATACTGTAAGTATAAACAAATGAATGATTCAATAGCATGTTAATATTTGAAATCAGCAAAAATTATACTTACTTACTTTAGCATTGTAGTAGAAAGAGTTTTTTATGCATACTTTTTGGTAACCAATGAGGCATGCAAATCTGTTGAGGATGAAATGCACCATGATTTGTTAGAACAGTTTAGTTTTGCGAACGATGTTTTGATTGCAATTTAAGTTGTTATACCCGAGAATACCTTGTTGGATAGCCATAAAAGTTTGGTATGATATAATCCCCATATCATTTTCAAAATGATTGCAAATGCATCTCATTTCTTTCTAGGCGGATAAAGCAATAATTACTTAAAAAAGCTATCCTTTTAAATGTGGCATCCGAAAATACTTACCGAAACAAAACCGATATGAAGGATTCATCGAGCGACACTGAATACGTTGTGAACGAAGACCATCTTAACAGCGTCATTACTGAGGTATAGTATAGTATTTATAATTTTGTTACACGGCTATTTAATAATGAAAATAGCGAAAATGTCGTTCATCAGTATAAATTATATTTATATTTAACCGACTGATGTGACAGGATGCCAAACAAAAACGTAAGATATATTACAGCTTCACTGTACTGTGGGTTTTTCTCCTTGAGTGGTAAATAAATTAAGATATTATGTTGATGCTCATAATTTGAGATGGTCCTTGATGATATACCATACGATAAGTAACTAGAATATTAAATTGTGAAGTTGTGCTAGGCATCGTAGTCGTAAATGTTTCCAGTAAGGCATCGTGCATTTAATTCTTTAGATGATAAACTGCATAAGACGCTCACGTACTATATGAGTGCGTTATTTTGTTAACTACTAGAAGAGTTTCTAAGTAATCTTCTCTTCTCCATACAAAAAACATCATCAGCTATTTCTTATAATCTATATTTGCGATATCATCTATTGCTTTATGGATATTAGGTATTCATATTATTTAACAAGTCTACTAATACGTGCACTTAAATTTTATATAGTACTTATTGTTTAGTGGGCTTAAAGATACTGCCATCAGGTTTAGTGAGGAGTGCGTTAATGCTGGAAAAGCTAATCCAAATTTAAATCAGATTCAAACTGCTGCTGAAAAAGTTAAACTGCAGGTATACTGTGATAGTAACAATAACAGCTGCTATAAGCCAGAAAAAATAATAATCATATAATATTGCTAGAATGACGATTCTATCTTGATAAAACGATGTTGTCTGTATCAACTAATAAAGTATACATATTAATGTATGTATGGATCTTAAAGAGCGATTTAATATCGGCCTACAAGAACGGAGATCATACCGAATTCTTTTCCTTGTGGAACACCAGTTTGCCTCCTGAAACTTTGAATGCAGATAAGGAATGTCAACGACTAGAATTTTCATTGCAAATTTATTTTGCAATTTATCCAAGGCTATCGCCTTTAGATTCACTGGTAAGCATTTGAACGTAATATAGAATAGAATAAACTAGTTTTGAAGCGGGAATTTCATTTCTCGTTAATTTTATTTTACAGTGGTAAATTTGATGTTTGAGGCATTGATTCCCTAAAGTATATTAATCTATTAGAACCCTAAATTGATTAATCCGAATTTGCTACATCTTTAGTTATAATATATTATTCTAATACTCTCTAATTGTATCTTATCTAGTCGGCCTTAAAAAAGTTATCCGATTAATTAATTGTAATAATTCATAGAATTAGAAGTAATATTACTTTTTTGTCTTATTAGGATGCGAGTGAGAGTATGGCGCGTTTTAGAAAGTATCTTGACAATCGTGGATCGAACTTTAGTCAATCAAGAGATCTACTACCATATTTTGCATTACCGTTTGTGCCTGATTTAAGAAATCATGAAGAGTTTAAAAGCTTATTTAAGGTAAAATAGCAAACCCAAAATGAAGCTCCTATATGTTACCATAGTGTCTTGTCTCTATCGATGTGCCTAACGATTTCAAAATATCTCCTTATTAGCCCGAATGGTCATCAAATCTACGAATGAAGCTAGAAGCTTTCTTAAAACAGACGCTCAAGGTCTCTAACGAACCTAAATTGGTCACCTTATTCGTATCCTGGCATGATTACACCCAATTCACCTTCAAAGTCCTCATTTTGTTGTGTTTTACCTCAACATCCTTAAAATGAAAATATAAAGCGGTTCCAAATATAACGTAGAAACAATTGCTACTTTAAGATCTAAGAACTTTTTTGTAGTTCTGCCTGTAAGATCTTAAATATATGCTTGTTTAATATGCCCTCTGTAGTAATTATTGTATGATATTTCGCCAAAGATCATGAAAATTTATATTTTGAAATCCTTTTATTTTAATATTTATCTTATTGAGAGTGATTTTACAGATATAGTATCGGTACGGACGATAAAATTTAGAATTTATTAATTATTACTTCACGACATAGAATTATAAATAATATAACATAATTTGACACGCATCCAAATTGTCTCAACTTACAATATCTTTTACAACCTTAACTAATACTCTTATACATCAGAAAAATCAGGAATTGATCATTAAGCGAGGTGAGGATTTAGTATATTATATTTTTATCTTTGACCGGGTTTTTTTAACGTTGTGTTAACACTCATTATTATCTATCATATTGAACAATAGCTGATCGAAATCTACAAGCAAGTGAACAACGTGTAGTAAAATATATTAAACGTTTCAATAAAATACAGGTACAGGATCTAACCTATTTGATACTGATGTCACTCGCAATGACATTCTACAAAATACTGATTTAAATTGATTTTAATTATGTACATTACGGTAATTATTCAAAGGCTGACTATCATAACTTAATCGGGATTACTGCAGAATTGGTGGATGTTATGGAGGATTCAATTAAAGGGAAACCGGTTAGAACTAACTGCACAAGTGCATAATTTCAGTCCATAAATACTGATGTAACAATCATGCTTATAATGTATTTAGGTGACAACGGAGTATCTTCGAACAGTTTGTAATCGTCTTTTTGCCGGTAGTATTGCCAATCAATCGGTGGATATCTCTCGACCCGGAACGGTAACCTTGCAATATGCATATATTTGCTTTAAGCGATAGCTAGTACTTTATTAAGATTTTTATACGGTACAGTGTACATGCTGTACTGTCTTATTGCTCACAATATATTTTATTTATTCCAATTTTAGGCTTCTGCGCTACTTCGCCAGTCTGTTGCAATCAATGAAAGCACATCCATGTCCGTTTATTAATATTATTCTAATCCAGTATCTACATATTTGCATATTGTTGCAAGCAGATTTAAAGTAATGTGGTAGATATTACATTAACCGCTAAAGTTCCAGTTTTTCCATTAATTATAGATTGAAACCAGTGAGATCTTCTATGGATGGAAGTAACGAACCAACTGTATTAGACTTCAATAAAATAAAACTAGACATATCCACGGAAAGCGACCCGGCTAAAGGTTTTCTGTTGCAAGCACTTCGTTGGGTGAGCCATATAACCACAGTACCCTTTGATCCTTAGCCTTTTTATACTTACGAGATTTTGATTATTTGGATTTATTTAGAGAATTACCAAAGCATCATCCATTGAATACCGTGATGAAACAATGGCTAGCTATTCTTCAAACGATTTACTCGGTTGCGTGGAAAGTGGAAATTATCAGGTTGGATTCGATTCTCAGCTATCTTTCAAATTGACAGTAACCTAGAAAAATTTCTCCTTTTAACCGCATATACACGCAGGATACACTTTTAGAATTACTAAATGAAGGATTATTGAGGCAAAGTCTTGCAAGATTTCTTAATGCGATTGCATCATTAAGCGCTGGTAAATACTACTACTAGGTTACATCATGACATCATAGGGCCGGATAGCTGATAAGTTATAAACTAACATGTAATATCATTTATGATAATATCAAAATCAGGGCGTACGTATCTAAGTAGGAGTGAAAGATTGATTCATGCTTTGAAAAAAAGCATGGAAAATAATAAATTCAATGATTTATCAATGGAAAATCTACTTGGTTGTGTGCAAAAACTAAGTTTAAGGTCAACACTACTGTTCATAAGCAAATAATATAATTTACTGCGACAGTCAACATATATTTAGTAAAAATCTTTGATAGTTTTGTATTTTGAACAATGTTTGATTCCGCAGAAGGAAATTTCAGACCCAAATGATCCTTGAAGGTTTCATTGAATGGCTTATCGGTGCTTTGAATCTATGTCCGATTACTTTTTGGAGTATTCTGTGGCTCTATTGATGAATCTCTGCCTACGAAAAGCAGGTAACTTCTTCTCTATCAGGTCAATATTACCCGCATTTGATTTTGATATAATTATTGATATTTTAAAATCCTGTTACAGGAAAGATTCGTTGTGAAAGTAAAGCCAGTGCTGTCTTAAAAGTTCTTTGCGATCTCTTAGGGCATGAAAACCGCGAAGTATGTCAAATCTATTATAATCTTAATTTTTGAAACACAGTAAAGGATTTACGCTTTTTAAGTGTGACTATTACTGCGTAATCTTACTTTTGTCGTGAACGCTACAATAGGTTCGACCTTACGTTAATGGTGCACTGTATAGTATTTTATCAAGACCTACAATTCGTGAAGAGGCTAAAGCCATGGTTAGTAAGATATCAATCAAAAATAGTAGGTAGTTTGGCTTAGTTTAATATCAATCGGCTATAATGTTATCAAGGGATTGGAAGACATGCTCAATTATTATCAGAGTGATAGTAACGCTGAAGAAAGACGTCAAATGGAATTTATTTTAAAACAATTAAACTCAGGTAGATTTGGTGCCTAAATCTCGACGGCTAATACTTATCATATTAATAGTTAAACTCATATAATTGCAGAAAACAGACACGATGAAGAAGATGATGCAGCTTCAGATGACGAGGACGAAGAAGACGATGATGTCAGTTAGCCCTTTTGAATGTTACGATAACCAGTTAATGAAATTGTACTATATAATGTAAAAGTACTTATTTAAGGTCGAATAAGATCGTTTCCATAACGAAAAGTTCATCAAATATCTTTTACAGGATGATCAAGAAACTCTCGAGGAGGACATCGACAAGGACGACAATATTGTACCAGATGACGGGGATTTATATGGTGAAAATCTTTTAAAAGTCAGATATTCGGTGGTATGTTTAACCTTAGTTGGTATCAACTTTTTTTAAACACTGATTATATCAGTTAGTGGCTTGATCTTTTTTTATTAAATATGCAGTTTTACCTGTTTGTTACATGGCTGTAGGCTCTAGGTGTTAAGCACAAGAAAAGAGAAAGGGTAATTTTACTTAGTGAAATTGTTATTACTTCTTACTATCAGTCGTAATGTGAAATTTGATAAAGTACCCTTCTAATGTAGGGAATTACTCATAGTATTGACGATGGGCCTCTACAACGACCGATTACACCATCTACAATTTTTACTGGTAACTGTAATTTAATAAAGTTATCATATTATTACTTAAATTATCAAGTAATCGTATAGCATAATTGTGTTGAACTTGTACTCGCTTTCATGACACTCTTATCGTACTGCAGTGTTAGTGGATTTTCCTATATTTTAGTCATTAATGATATATTTACCTTTTGACATTTCTATTGCAATCTGTGTCTTACAGCTAAATTAAAGCAAAGCTATCAAGGGTAAGTTATGGAGCCAACATGAATAAAATTTATGTCACAATGTAATTTATTTAGAATGTTATAAAATGCTTGCACTTGTAAGAGATATTTGAGCTTTGTTTTCTTAAATAAAATGGCAAGCAGTGATGGGGTTACAGGGATAGAGTCTGCTCGAGAGTCTGTCCGATTAGAGAACTTACAAGGTGAAGTTAGAATATGTGTACGGCTTGATGTTCTAGTACTACATTTTTGATTATAATTACACTTAACAAATTTCTAGAGGAAGGAAATAGTGGAGATAAATCGCGACCTGCTTCTCAAGCAGATTTAACCGTTAGTAAAATGCCAAGTCGGCTTAGCAGCTATGGTGCCAATAAATCGCCACGTTCACAATCGCGAGCTGAAGAAAACTATAGTCCTCGAACGTCTTCTTTTAGTTCAGCTAAGCCATCCAAGCAGTCACCGCAAAACAGCGGCAAGACGAAACAAAGATCTGGTTCACTGCAAAATAACCCCCCTAGTAGAAAGGGCGAAGTAGAAGTTGTTCGACCCAAGACTCGAAGTGGTAGTGCAAAGTCAGTTTCATTAGGAAGTGCTAAAAGTGATGACGGCAGAATAAGGCCCGGTACAGTGACAAAAGGTCGTGTGGCAAAGGTCGACGATGAGGAAGCTGTTGATGATACTCAAGCACCAGATGACACGGAGGTCCAACTACGTAAGTGAGAGTATTTCTTATTATTTCGTTTCATGCAAAGATCTTAATACCTTTGCTGCTTAATTTTGTTCTAGCGGTTGATGATAAAGCATCGGAAGTTATCTCTAAGATCCTTGGGGTGAGTTAGTGTTCAAGTGATTTACTTCTGACTTCATACAACAATCACTTTTAAAACTGTGCGTAGTATTGTTGTCGAATGATATGTTCACTTTAAGTTGTACGCTAAGTCAAAATGACTCGAAATTGGTATCAACAGCACTTACGTTATTAAATTCATAGCAAGGTTCATTGAAGAACAATACTTAGTAGTTATGCCTATAATGCTGTATAGGTGTAATATTAGAATATGCCACTATAACAATGCAAGCTATAGAATAGCAAACTGTAGAAGTTTTGTTTGCTAACTTATCCTATAGCCAACTTTTAATTAAAATTGATTCTACGTCTGCGTAGTCGGAAAAAAAAATTATACAACCGGAAAATACCGATCCTACAGAACCTTCGGAAAAGCCAACTAGACAAGTTTCGGCAAAAGTGCGATCAAAGTAGGAGATACATTCAAAATAACAATGAAATTTCATTTCTGCTACAGTTTACTTGAAGAAGCTGAGATAATCTTATTTCGATTCTCTACAGCAATGTTGAATATACGGCAGCATTTTCTTCCCGTCCGAAGATACCAAGAACCCCCGATCTATCGCAACCAGATCGCATTCCAACTCCAACGCACAGTACTGGTGTACCGACTCAATCGCGTCCAACCTCAGCATTCTCTGACAAACATGCCAAAACGACTACAAGCGATGGTAAGAGCGTATAGTTCTACAACTCTTCTTTATGTTAATGATAATCTGAGATATGCAAGACTAACTTCTCTATGATTCACATTGCTAACGATAGGTCAATTTAAAAAACCTTCTTCAAAATCTTCAAGTCGACCAAGCTCGAAAAAGTAATGCTTTAATGAGTTGATACCTGCAACATCGTTCCTAACTGTTAGCGAATAAACTTCAAAGGCTTAGAAGTAATGGTATTTACTACTCAACATTATAGAGTAAATGTGGTTGAAAGAAACCAGTATAATTGCCAATGACAACGTGTGCATCTGGAAATTTTACATTTGAGCTCTTAAAATCGATTATCATCTATGAAATTCATAGCTGATTAAATGCAATGATTGGAATTACTTTAAAATGGCTAATTAATTATAAACATTGGCCGTTACCATAAATCTTTGTAACAATACATTTGTCCTGTAGATATTTCGAATATAAATATAGTAAATGCTTAATGTTGCCTACCGTGTTTAATGAATGGATCGTTTTAATAATTCAGTTATTTTGTTATAAGTAATATATTTCATTAATAGTTGTAAAGTTTACACAGTGTAGCTACTGCAGAACTATTTTTATTTGTTGTTAAAATGAGAATAGTGCTACTGAATTACAAATTTCTCATCAATTGTTTTCGGCTGTTCTTTGCTAATTCTTTCACACTTTAAATATTTCATTATATCTTGATACTCTTCTGTTAAAATTTTACTTAACATATTATGCTACTAATAATTTATCAATAAATATGATCAGAATACTCGAGCTCTGTCTTATAGCAAGTTTCACTACATTCGGTAATCATAATCTTATTTACGGTGTGTCTTCGGGCAATACTTCGCAATAGTAGCAATAGCCGGGAATCTTTGACTTAATTAGGCGTTTATATTGTTATATGCGCTATTGACGGCTAATGGCCATAGCAGATCAGAATCGAATTTTTGACTGAATTAGGGCATATATCAATCTATGTTATCAGCCGTTTAGATCACAAATATTAGTACAGAAATAGCTCGAGGAAAGTTAGAAAATTTAAGAGTTATCAGTTGGTTGGCTGCAGCAAACGCTGTCAAAAAATAATCTCGAAACCTAGAAGTATAATACAGACTGCTATTAGATAGCACTCACGTGTATTTTTTGCCATCGTTTAGCTTTAAATAGAATGAATGATTTAAATCAGGCTCTATATCCTAAGCTTGAAAAGATAACGTTGTAATGTATTTCCAATTAAATATTTATTGCAATTCAGATGCTGAATAAATCATCAAAGATTAAGTATAAACATTTATTGATAAACAGTGAATCTTACATATGTACACAATAATCTGTGATATCATAAAGCTATTTTATTTTATTTTGTACGGCTTTATTCGTTAAATACGCATGTTATGATTCAAGGTGATATCTACAGTCAGCAATTACGATAAAGTAAGAAATAAAAGAATTTTTATCCGCTATTTGATATACTTTAAAGAACAATCTGTTTAATAGTTTTTATTAAGGTCATTGTAAATGGTTATTGTGGGTTTAGATGATAATGCATTGCACCATAATTTATGTTTAAATATACAGTATTCCTTGCATGACCTACATTCCTAGATACTTAATTTGTTTTACTAATTTAGTATGCTTATATATTATAGATAGTGCAATATACTATATAATTGTCTATCAGCAATACCCTGCTATGATACCGTACTAAATACTAGGTCTGCAAAAAGAAGAACATGGTATAAACCACTGTAGCTTCCGATTTTCTATGTTCAGTCAATTAATGTGTTGTACGTATAGCCTAGGGAAGATAGACTAACCAAATTTGGTCTTAGTGCGCAGATTTTGATTAGTGAAGTTATTTAATATTCGTGAAGTAGAAGTCGGCGGCTTGTCGTTATCAATTGATTACTGTAAACTTTGCCTTATCAATAAGAAAGATCATGGCTGGTGTACTAACTGCAGAAGACTGGCAAAATGAATATTCTCTCTATGATAATATTTTCGAACCTTACGTGGAAGACATTTGCGAAGTCATTGACATTAGGACAGTAAGTACATTAGTAAATATAGTAAGGTCGGGCTTTAGATAGAATTTCTGAATAATTAGCAAGAGCTTCTGTTAATATCGCGATAGCCTAGCATAATACTATAATGAGAGTAAACTTTATTTGCTATTAGTATCATACTGATTTAGTATTATATTAAGCTAGAGTGGGTATAAATTTAAGTTCGCCTTTGAGAGTTCTTTATTGAACTGGTGGGGATAAACTGCTCTTTTATACCGGATGATATAATAACATAACATCGTACGGAGTAACATTGGATATCAAGGAGTAGTATTGTTTTATAGCCGTTCGATAATCATTTACTTGATATTTTTGCATAGGAAGAACCAATTGCAGATCACGCGGATGGTATTGCACATGCACCATCTGCCGTAAGAAATGTTAAATGAATATCAAAGGATGGTCTCACTATTTACCTGAAAGTTCTATCTTGATTAATTAGATTAACCCTGGAAGAAGTCAAGTAGCTGACGTAAATAACAATGAAGATCAAATATCAACGGTAAGATCATGCAAGAAAGCCTGCAGACAAATATCATTTTAGTGCCATTAGGAAAATTTAGAAGTAAATACATGAATGCTGGATATTAACGCCGACAATATTTGCTAATTACTAAAACTGAATAGACCGACTATGCATCGTCTCAACCAGATTTACTTTACAACGGTATTAATCCAGCCTTGGCGGTAAAAATGCTACGACTTTTCATCGATATTATTGACTACTTCTTAGGATATTTACAAATTTAATGTAAAGGATTAATTACTTAAAGTAATTATAAAGCATTTAATATATAGAATGGACCCGTTAGCTCTTCAATGGAAGATATCATTGATACATTTTTAACGGTAAGTCTTTGATGGATTGATTACAAGAAGCCTAAAGCTAAATCTTCGAAATAGTTAGACATGATAGAGTTAAATCATTTTTAGACCGATCGAATAGAGAATAGGTATGTAAATTTCTCGAGGAAGAACTATACTAGTACGGAATGTGTATCTCAAGTGGATCAAGACGCAATATCAATATCATCAATGAGCTCGTATCACGATGCTAATATCAATACGGAGGAAGACGTAATCACCCATGATCTATTAACCGGCACGAGAGGTAGTTATGCTAAATAGAGAAAAATCTTGCATTGTTACAATTTCTATGGTGGCAAATCTTGATAGTAATCGAACATGTCTTAGCGTTTTGAAGCTTTTATCTGGGCTTGACAAAATTTATTAACGATAACTAGATTCAAGTGTAAATTACAAGACATGTGAGGTAAAACGAAGTTTGCCTCGTGCTCAAACAGTACTACTAAGTCAAGGCAGACATCCGAATGTGAGTAACGGCCATCTTTCAGTCATAGTAACAGTCGTTATATAGTAATAAAAGTCTGTCAAGGATTTTAAAAATAGCCGCTTAGATATAATAGAGATTGATTTATCATTAGGGTCATACGTTTTATTTTTATGCTGTAGGTGGCTAGATCAGAGATAGAGAATTCCGATGTTAAGATTAAAGATTTCTTCAACAGCCAATGTTTTGCTTGCATACCTTGCACGGAAAAGGTACGAAAACAACATGTAGGTCTAATGGAGAACATCATCAGAAGCTTGATTCCTTTACCACCTTAAAGAAAATGCAGATAAATACTAAATTTTTGCACTTATCGTTGTAACATTTTCATAACTTTTACTATTTGGAATGTGGTCACATATTGTAACCAATCTATTTGCCAATATCTAATAAACAAGTAATAAAAGTGTATTATCTTTACTACGGCTGATGGGTTACACTAGCACCTAATAATTAATAGATGTCATATAGTAGTATTTGTACAGCTGAAAATAAATGCTCGTTTTCCAAATTGTGGAACACTTTTGATGGTATTTCGGTAGATCTGCTGGTGCGTACATAGTTGTCGTTTATTGCCTGTGGAGTAAATTGGTGATAATAATAGCTGTTATACTTACTTACGGTAGCTTGTTGAATCCGCGAGCCGTTCATGCGAAATTATTTTTTCAACAGAGCAACTATAATGATTGCTAAATCCTCTTAAATTGTAAATATTACACGACTGCCAAAAAAATAGATCAATTCGTAAATATTCAGTTGACATTGTACTTAGAACTGCTACGAAAATTTACTGTAAAAAAACGTATACGAATATCAGTATTCCTATTTCCTTATCCATTGTAACACAATGGTCAGGATTTTGGTACAAGCATACAGAGAATTACTTGCTAAACGTAATTTCAGAGTAAAGTTGTACTAGCTACTACTAGTAGGAAGAGTATGGCTCGTATTTCATTAACTTAAGATATAAAAGCTTTAACAAGATGCTTTCATTTGCACCTAAGTATTTTTAATTTTTACAATTCTCTCGGACAACTAGTCATTATTATCTGGCGGCTACATGATAGATTATACGCGTACAGTAATTTTTATTTCAATTTTTGATCCATATTCTCGGAGAGCTGATAAAAAAAACGATAATAAAATTTGAAATCGCAGCACGAAAATTACAGATAATATTGATTTTACTATAACTAAATAATTCTCAGGAAAAAATCGCTAAGAAATGAGCAGTCTGAATGTTATAAATGCAGAATTAGCTATTTCATGATCATCAAATAATTTGCTCGTGTGGATGTGGGGAATAATCATAATTAAGTTCTATCGGTAAGTAACAAAATGTTTAACTCAGAGCGCTGCAGTAGGCAGCCGTTTTATTTCCACCACTGTATCCTGTTGTAATAATTTTGTATTTGTTATCACGTTAGAACTTTCAAAAAAATCTCCGAAAAATGAATTACAATGCAGGCTAGACCAGGCCATTAATACAGTCAAGAACTACTGTCTATCAGCAAAGTGCTAGTGTAAATTCTTCATACTGCGTCCTGTAGATACGAGAGCTGTTATTAGATTGAACTGTACTGTAAAAACAGTTACAGACTTACAGTCAATTTCTTTGGACGACTGTACTGTACAGTACAGTGTACAGTACTGCAGATTACAGTGTATAGTACTGTATTTTACAGTACATTATGGTTACAAAAGAAAATAACGGTCGTCGAAGGCGAGACTGCTCAGTGCTCACTAGAGACCCTCATATAGCGCTCACATTCTCTCAGTTCTCCTAAGTACGGTACAGTATACTCAGTAGGCAACATTCCACGAACACGCAAGTTACATGAATTCATTTCGAGCATGCGTGGTTTATCCACTTTGAAGGAGACTGAAATCGAATCAAATATGGTTGCAAACGAGAACGATTTGGGCGAAAAGTGGGATAAATGTCTAACTGACATGGCTGTTAAGATCGGTAAATATGCACCAATGATGACATCGTTAATTGCTAGAGCAGCTTTTGCTAGTTATAGTTTCGTTATTATTGCTACATTTATCTTGTTATAGCAGTTGTATTGACATATTTGTTCTAAATCTCTACAGGAGCTGGAATCGGCTTAGGAATAGTGTTTTCTGCACTTGCATTTAAACGTAAGATGAAATTTGTCAAATAATTCATCCCTTGTCTTGTATTTGTTAACAGATTAATATTATGATCACCTTAGGTCGTCCTTGGCCAATTGCTTTTGGCGTTGGTGCTGGCTTTGGCATGAGCTACGCAAATTGTCAGCACGTTTTCAAATATCCGGAGTTATATGAGGTAATATTGCATGGTCCTGTACTGTACTGTATTTTTCTGGTCAAGTAGGCAGCATCCATAGTCACCAATATTTACGTTACTAAGAGCAAGGTACAGTACATCTTACGCTTAGTTATTAAGATGATGGGCTCAAAATGGCTATAATGTATTCATACTTGAAAGAAATGAACTTAAGTTTACCAGGATATATCGTGAAGATTTTGATAGTATTGACAGTTTATTCAACTTGCTAAATTAAACTTTTCTACTACTAATAAATCTTTACTTGACAGCACATGCGATAGAATCGTACCTTTACTTGTTGAGAACTATACTTTGTGACATTGATATTCAGGGATGATTCTGGAGAGTTTAAGTGAATTTTTATTGTTTCACCTCATTTAGGTAGAGAGTGGTAATAGTGAGCCAGCGAAAGCGACCCAAAATTAACTGTGCCACAATAACTAGTAACTGCAGTCAATGGCAGATGGTGGTTACATGATGGTTACGTGATGTAGTGCTGTCTAGTTTATCAATGTAATGTACTGTATACAACTTAATTTTGTGCATATACATCCTTCAATATAGCATAGATATGCTATATACCACTTCAATTCAGTAAGACTGTACAGAAATATTGGCCGATAGCGTAAATTTTGTATTCCTTATTTATGCTGTTTGAACATAAATTACATCTTAAGAATTGCTTGATAAAGTGTTAAGTAAGAGTTTTAAGCTATTCTATACGTTATTATGGAATATTTAATGGAGTATTCTTGTTAGAGCAATACCTTCAGTGTAGGCTAAATGTTATACAGATATTAAATGGTGTCAGCCTGTACCTTACTGATAGACGGCTTAGTTAGATACACATTTACGGCTAAATTGAAATGTTTAGCTTAGCAACTTTACATCTAATACAATATCTGAACATGGATTTAATTTCAAAAAATTTTAATGCCTATTTAGTTCATTGCTTTGTTCGTACTATATATTTGGTATAATCTTACCTACTTTCTGGTCTGTTTGCATAATTATTGCTAAGTTAGACATCAATTTGTTGAAAATGTGGTGAATATTTATTTTAATACATGACTTTGTGATCGGCTAATTATTTTAATTCTCCATAGCAGTCTGTTGGGCAGTCCTTGATATCAGCAAGGAACATTTAATTGCAACCAATACTTGTCATGGCTTAGTAGGGATTGCAGTAATTTAATTTAATGCAGGATATATACGGTAAACAAGAGTAATCAAAGTATTGTAGATAAATGCGCTTATTGTGCATGACGTTATAGGTGAAAACTTCCTATTTGCTATTATAATACCGTAGACAAACTTGCTATTTTCCGATATCTAAGGCTGAATTCATGATACAGTAGTTATATAGAACGATATAATTCCATAGGAAATGCTAAACCAATAAGTTTGTATTGACACCAATACCATCGATTTGCTTCACATGGGCACTTTGTCAGATTAAAAAAGAATTTTAATACCGTTTTACCTAGATTCTTATGTAAGATAAATAGATGAGACAATTATACCTTCGTTTATAATTGTGAAAAGATTACGTAAATTTTCTCCTAGATATTTCAAAATATGTTTATTGTTATAATTGTGGTAAATATAATACGTAGACAAGGGATAGCTTGTGACTGTGATTATCGTTACACAAAATAATTTGCATGAACTAGACATGTTTGATCGAATTAATTCAAAAAGCAATTCAGCGATGCAAAATAATATTGCAGACATCTATGACGCTAATATTTATGCAAAAAATATCAGCAGGTGCTTGTTTTTGTTAAGATCCCGGTCAAACAGCGACACGTTCGTAAAGCTTGACGTCCCCAAAGTTTGTGAACATCATGCGTAGTACGAAATTACATGAAAACCAATTATTTAAATAAGAAGTATTTTACTGGCTTGTCAGTCGAATGAGTCATGTTCGTTATTTATTTATACAATGATCTGTACTTCCGATTAGGTTGACCATATTCCTACCAAGAAAGTCATCCTGTACAATCTATTAAAGTCATGAATTGACTAAGAAAAGTCTTTATGCATGAGCTACAAAATATTGATGTATATGTTATGGATTACAGTACCAGATTTATCACTTAGTTTAAGATACCTAAGTGTAAGTCTAAAGTCACGTCAGGTTTATAGTTTAAAACTTACTTCAATAAGAAATATATAAGGCTACCAGAATGAAATAAGTATTATTTAATATAAGCTTGCAATCTATGTGTAGTCCAACAGTCTTCTGCCGTTATTATTTCTATCAAGATTTGAGAAACCACATGCTGGCGAAATCTGATGAAAGTTTTCATGCAGATACTGTTCAGGTCGGAAATTAGGAGAACAACAACTCAAATCTGACAATTTTAAGATAATAAGCTTAGTAATCAATTTATAAAAGTAAATAATGACGGCATTTCTACTTTTAATTGACAGAGAGCTCGAAAAAAAACACGTGAATAAATAAACGGAATGAGACGGGTCGGCTAAAATCGAAAAATACCGCAAGGATCGATCATTTATCATCTTATTCATTTTATACTCATCCTCATTAGTATACTAAAGCCACTCGCATCATAGGGCAATCTCTAGGGCTTCTTATACTAAGAAAAGAATTGGGTCGAATTTTTCATACTACTTTATCCGGCTGATATAATTTCAAATTATTAAAATTTAGGTAAGAAATAGCTATTTACGCCAATTCATCGATAAGATCTAACTTTCATTAAACTTTGTAAAACTTTAACAGATGAAAATATTAGCTTGAAGTTATGTTAGTTATAAGATAACTCAAACTATTTAATCTACTAACTTTTAAGTTCATATTCGCCATAAATGTTCATTTCAACTCTTATGACGTTTATGGATATCGTGTTTTATTCTTAAAATCGCCTAACTGAAATACACTTGGAGAATTATTTTGTTTAAATATTGCAGTTTAAAAATTTTCGTGACCATTGTGCGTAAAACGCTGTTATTAATGTATAAGAAATTTGCTATAGTAATTGTGACGTATTATAACTGATGACTAGGTTGGTGGTTTTTCACGGGTTTACTCAATATGAAAATGCGACTAATTCATATTTTTTGTGTCGCATTGGTTATAACTACGCAATTTGCCAACAACTGTCAAGGACAGTTTGATGCGAACGTAAGAACTCATACTATATTTAAAACGTGACTGCATGTGTTATTTTAACTTTAATTAATGATTACAGACAAATATGTTTAGTTAATTTTTCTATAATACATCATTAATTTAAAATAAATGGGCACGATGATCGCATTATTTATTTTGGATACATGTAAATCTGCCCCTTATAAATTAATTCACGGAGTTTTTAAGCCATATGAATTTCAGGCAGCGGATATTTCATCAAATAAATGGCAGCAGCAACTAATAATTGCATTTGGGAGCTGAAATCCATCAGTCAACTGCTAGATATTTGCCCAAATTAATGTAGTATTACATAGCCGCAGTAAACACGTTAGGGTTAATGAAAGTTAGTACAATACACTGAATACTGGTATTTTGCTTAGGGTAGTTACTGTCTCGCTCAGTGTAAGATTTGAGGATAATTATAGAATACTTGAGAATATATATCTGATTTCGTATTGAGAATAAGTTTCAGCTGTGTACGAATGATAGCCTCATGAGGGAATATTATTCAAAATACTGTGTATTATACTATTATACAATGTTGGACAAGTCGCAATCAAAAATTATTTTCATTAATTATATATATTCATTATTTATAAGAATGGATGGGGAGATTCCTCGGAAGGTGAGTAGTAAATTGTTGCTATACTTTGTATAACTTAATAACCAAAATATCACTTAGCTGTTTTAATAATATGTATTTACGAAATGTTCTACTGACATGTTCGAAATTAACATTACAAATGCACGACTAGTTGCAATGGACTGTCAACATGGTATGAACATGGGTGGTTTATGTATTTGCTATCCCGGATTTCATGGCTCAAGTTGCGATGAATGTAAGTGGATAAGATAATACTATTTTACTTTAAATCTAACATATTGCTAAGTTCTTTCATTAGACAATTTTACTTGGGCTAATTATATCTATAGTTAGTTTGCGATATAATCCCTTTTATCAATCTTATATCAATTTCTAAACAGAATAAATTGATTATATGGTAAACTAGATGCACTTTTTCAACAAGTCTCTAATAACAGATAGCAAGCTACATTTATACCGTTATTAGCAGCATTATTATATTCAATTAATTACATTTCTTTGGTTGACTATTTGATTATAAATATACCTAACATTGCTTTGTCAACATTGCAAGTATTTCATAGTCCTTTAGACTCCTGTAAGTGTTGTGATGACTTTACAGGAAAAAGTATAAGCTGAAATAACTCGAACTTTGTGGTAAATTTTAAAAATTATAGACAGCCCATCAAGCCCGTGTTATGGTAACCCTTGTCAAAATAGTGGTACTTGCTTTCCGACTAATGGGGGTAAATCTATCCTGTGTTACTGTGTAAACGGATTTACAGGTGCTAGATGCGAAAGCGCTGTGGCTATTGTAGTCAATATTAGTAAGCTGACTGGCGGTTCTGACGCGACGCCAAGCCCTGGTATAATATTTGTGATTAATCTAGAAATGAAAATTTTCTTAAATTAAGGCAAGCTTAAAAGATTTTAATTTTCATTCAATGCAGCAATGAATTCTACTACAGAAGGAACATCGCAATTGAACCACACCAATTCAGTGAATTTTATTCACAGCAATGACACTGCTCATTTTACCAACGAAACTGAAATCTTCATGAACGGTACCGGTACTTTCGACAACAGTACTCAAGATAGCAATGAAACAAATTGGTATGACAATCAACTGAATAACACTTCAACATTTCAAAACCGCACTGCGAATAACGATACCGATTATGGTAAGTCTAAGACACATACATTTTAAACACGTACATGAGCATACTATGTTGTGCACCTACGATGTAGTTAAGATGCAGTAGTAGCTATGATAATTCCCGTAGGCCAAATTTAATTTATCGCAGATGAAGGTTATAAAATCGATGTCTTCATTCTGCTTTAGGATTTAATAATAACTCTATGCAGTGCAATATCACGACGTGTAGAGCTGGTCAATGTGTTAATATGAATAATAATACAAGTGTCTGCGTGTGTTTCGAGGGATGGGGTGGGGTGGCTCTACTTGTGAAGAAGGTGAGTATCTTTCATAATTTGATACTATAGTAATCATCATAAAAATGCAATTGGCCTGTTCGTAATTTTCTCATCAATTCATACTATGCACTAAGTTTCTGAAGAGAATCCTTGCTATAACAATACATGCGTCAATGGGGCAACTTGCTTACCAAATTTCAACCTAACCGATTATAATTATGAATGCTTTTGCGCCAATGGATTTTCCGGTGTAAATTGTGAACTAGAGGGAAATGGAACGGAGCTGTCTACAGGTCTTTACTATAACATTTAAATGATTTATTATAGCTTGCATATATGGGTACTGTACCAATAAAAGCTTCAATTTGATAATTTAACTTTGAATTATCCTCATGCAGATCCATGCGAATCCTATCCTTGTTTAAATAATGGTTCCTGCTTATCGAACGGTACCGATTATATCTGCAACTGTTTAGTGAGATATGAAGGAAGGGACTGTGAAATAAGTCAGTTTAATTTGAAAATTAAGAAAGAAAATATAATCTAGGCTTTGTATCTCATGATCATGACATTGCTTTAAATGTAAAAACAGAAATCCCTAAACCATGCGATCCTTCCCCATGTGCGAACGGTATCTGTACCGAGATCAGTAATGGCACCAGTTACACATGCGAATGTTATGAAGGATACGAGGGTCAAAATTGTGATTGGATTTCAGGTGAAATAGCCCTAGTCCATGAAGTGATGCAGTGTGCAAGCTGTGATCAGTTCAGATATGTAATAAAGTTATTTTATTCGTTAACAATATTGCATTCTTCTGTGCGTATGAAGGTATTCGAGTATGTGAAGAGAAGCCTTGCCAAAATGGGGGTTCATGCCAAAGGTTTGGACCAACCTCGTACAAATGTTCCTGCGCTTGGGGATATGCAGGGCGAAACTGCGATATTTGTAAGATAATAATAATATCACGTCGTAGTTCAAGCTACTTTGATTGTTTAATTTATAAAACGATTTTTTTTCTACTAGACGAAGGAACTGCATGCGATAGGAATCCTTGTAACTATGGCTCATGTACTGCAACCGGAAGAGGCAAAGACTCGTATATTTGCAATTGCAAGTTAGGTTACTTAGGAAGAAACTGCGATAGAGCAGGTATGTCCTTTTGCTTGAGTGTCGTTAAAACAAATATTGCAGAAGTTATTTCTTGATTTAAATAATTTCCTTGTGCTTCTTCCTATACGGACTATTATTTGTTTCATATCTGTATGTAAGTGGATAACATATGTTCGCTTCGTCCATGCCAAAATGGCGGTACTTGCATGCGTCCTAGGAATGAGACAAATACCTACAAGTGCCTTTGTTATTGGGGATACGACGGAAGAAATTGCGAAAAGTGTATGCTGCTAATATTCTAAATGTTAAATACGAATTCTTTAAAACTGTAACTTTCTTATCATTGAAAAGCTCATAATTATATATCTGTATGTATATACGCCTATAAGTTAATGGTTAATTTTGTAGATGTCGGAACTGCATGCGATTCTCAACCATGTCGAAATGGAACTTGTTCTTTAAATACAAACACTGATTATACATGCGCCTGCTTTCCTGGATACACTGGACGATATTGTCAACATCGTAAGTAGTTCAAGATTCTAACTACGACCAAAAATGCTCCTTAAGCTCTCAAATAATATTTATCTGCTCTTCTAAGGTCTTACGGCATGCTACAAAATGCCTTGCAGCAACGGATATTGTACTGATGTTGACGGAGGACGAGATTATCGCTGCACATGTTATGGAGGATTTGGCGGTAGAAATTGTGATCGATGTATGAAATTGCATGATATTGATAAGATAACAAAATTTTTAATAAATTTAATATACTGTAGCTCTTGCTAGACTAATTAACATTGTATTTAATTTGTAGATATTGGATTACCTTGTCATAACAACGAGTGCTACAATGGAGGACTATGTCAGAACGTTAATAATTACCGTGATTTCCAATGTACATGTCAACCAGGGTTCTATGGTCGTCAATGCCAAGACAGTAAGAATTATTAATCACTAAATTTTGTTATATAATCAACAGGCATCGTACTCATAATTCTGCGTACAAAATTTTACTTCGTTAGGTATTTCACAAACAACAGGTAAATTCAAGATGATTTCTTTCATATGAGCAATAGCTATATACATGTGCACAGCCTAGTGCAAGCATGCTAAGCGTTATACATTTATGTTACTTCGTGTGTGATTAAATATATTATAGTACCACCAACGACAGAAGCAACTACACAAAAACCCACAGAAAGTAAGACATATTTTTCAAAATATCTTTCGAAATATCTTACAATCGCTTTAGTAATATTTTTAAAGACTTGGGCATTTTAGCATTGATTGTATATTGGATTAACTTGCACATAATAAATCTAGGTTCTATTGGACGTTGCGGAGGTAACTTCACTGGATCAAGAGGAATCTTGACGTCACCAAGATTTCCACAATCATATCCTCCAAGAGCGAGGTGTATCTACGAAATCCACCTACCGAAACACCAAAGAATTGATATAAGATTTGATACCTTTGACTTGGAGGCCGGCATCTTTGGCTGTTATGATATCTTAAGAATATATGATGGAGGTCATTATCGACATGATTTAGCTGCTGCAGCTTGTGGCAAGCGAAGGTATTTGAGATATGAGTCGAAGACAAATTTGATCTACATAGTTTTCATGAGTGATAAAAACATAGAAAGGAAGGGCTTCTACGCGACTTATTCTGCAGGTATGCTTTCGTTAAATAACTTTGTAATCGTTCGTTAATTTAGCACATTGATAACTTTTCTCGTAAATATGATATTAATAAGATTGTGATTTCAAAACCATTAGCTTTAAATACTAAGCTTACAATACATGATATCATAAATACAAATACCGTATGGTAATGAGTCAGTTGGTTCAAACGATATCGAGATAAAGCTTCAAAATTATATCATGATCTAGTGCTAATTATTAGAATAACATATTCATTCTATATTTTGAACCTGATAGTGGAAGATAAGTCACCTTGCAAACCTGACACTTGCAAAAATAACGGAAAATGTATTGCTATCTCTTCTGAAAAATATAAATGCCGATGTGAACGTGGATATATCGGTGAACGTTGTGAATCGAGTGAGTACTTTAATGCATGCTGCTATTTATTAGACGATACTTAAACTATTGCATAAATAATGTATTATATAATCGTATTTAATTTAAGGAAGTTTACACGCAATAAGCATAAATACTAACTGGTACAAACTAAATAGTATAAATAAATCTTATAAACGTAATTACTGTATGTGGTGCTTTACTCATATATACGGATATGTTTCATTTGATTAATATTTAAATACAACAGAACTCATCACCAAAACCTTCAAGACAAGATCTGGCCTTGTTGCGTCTCCAAATTACTTTGGAGAATACGCCAAAAGTGTGCGTTGCATTTTTACAATCACTGCACCAACTTATAGGCATGTACTACTAACGTTTGAACGTTTCCATCTTTCCAACCCTGATACAAATGGTAAATGTTCAGAATTTATGAAAATCATCGATGGAAGTACACGTTCTAGGCGCATTCTTTTCAACGGGTGCGGCATCCGTAGCCCTGGTACACTGATGTCGTCGTATAACCGAATGACTATTATCTACGTTACAAATAATGCACGTACTGGATATGGTTTTAAGGCAACTTATAGGACTCGTTATTGTGAGTATTTGAGTAACTAATTCAGATTATAAACAATCGCAATCATGATAATAATACTTAGATTATCTTTAAAAATTCGCTTCATATTCATGTTACATGGTACGTATTACATATTAGGTTAGGAAAATTATTAGATTTTTCAGTTTATTATTTGCAAATGATAATATGGATCCATTAAATTTCTACTTACCGCAATTTTTTATTGCATTAAACCCTTAAAATTCACTAAATAAATCTTAGAAGCATGTGAAATAGTACAAAGCTTCGTATATTTAGGGACAAAGAAAAATGTCTACAGATTCCATAAACTACAGTATTATACTTGAATTCTCTCGGTAGTTCACAGCCAGTAGACTGATTTGTATTTAATACTTCAAAATTATTTTCCATTTATTTGTTATGAATTAGATTTAAAAGATAAATCACTTCTGTATTGGTCATTGAGGTAGCTAACGCGCTTAATTTGATCATTTTTAGAGTTAATTTGATCCTCACATTGACGCTTTGATGCTATCGATATTGGTACTTGTCTAATTACCTTGATGTATTTTTCCAATAAAGAAAGATACTTCTAAAATTCTAATATTAAAGAAAAAAGTTTTGATGATTGATAATAATAACTATTAATTAATTAATATTCATAGTGCAACTCAGTATGTATAAGATATTTATCGGTTAAAAGATCTAAGGTACTAATATAATTCGCCATATCAATAATGACTAGATAAGTTCGTAGCAAAATAGGAATATATAGCATATACTATAATCTTTCCTTGACATTTACTCACAAGTACCCGTGGCTGTTTGCTAAATTAATTGCAACTGTTAAAAATTATTTCTTTATTAATACTTTGCGATGTTTGTAGAACTTACTATTGCGCTTTACAAATTAAATTCTTGTTATTTGCTAAATACCTTATCATCACTAATTCTTGCATTGTAATAGCATTATTAGTTTTAATTTTTGTATAAAAGACATGCAAATTACAAGCGGTCTTAGTAGATGATCAAATTACTGTCAAATTTATTTGCATATACGTACTCGTATATATAAATGCACTGCAATAAATATGAGTATCTCCTTCGCAAATGGAAATTTAAGGACCAAACTCAGCTTGCTACTGTAATTATCTTTCTAGTTTTAGCGAAATGAGCACCAGCTATTTGCATTATCATATAATATCCACATCAAGGGGCTCTAATCCATACCTATAACACATTACTCTTTTACTTTCTTACAGGACTATTTCAATTGCTAAGCATTAAAAGTATCGGTACTACAGTACCAAAGTTAACCTATCATTGTTGTCTATATCGGTAGTTAACTATCCATGCACTACAGCACGCACTTATTTCCAGCAAGGCTACGCTTTTATATTAGTAATATTGGTAGTATTAAAGATGCAAATGCTGTTTTTAACTACTAGTGGAGACGTTACTATTTAATTTAGCCAATCTTTTAAGATTAGGCGTGGATATCATTTAGTAGATTTCGCATTCGTGTAATAGGAATTCAGAATGGATGGATGACTTACGTCGACAGACTTCATAGGAATCTAACAAAGTGGTGTGCACAAATTCGATACATTTTATCTAAATAAAGCCCTTGAAATTTTAATTCGACATACCAACGACTATGCAACATCATTCATTTTCATGTTTGACTGTAGTGATTTATGTTAGTTATCTCTTAAGGAATTTGCCTGGTTTTTTGATGTAAACTTCGTCACAAATTTTAACAAAAAACGCATTTAATTTATCACCAAATAGTAGAATTAATAGCTTCTTGTTAAGAATGTTATTTATAGTTGCTTTAATACTCCAATAGACTCAAAGGGATGTTTTAAATTTAACTGTAAAGAATTAAGATAGAGCTGTCTTATAAGGAGTTTGACTAGTTTTCAGCAATTTCTTCGTCACTGATTTTTAACAGAAAATGAATCGTAATAATCGTCAAACAATAAAGGGAACGGCCTCTCGATTTAGATTCTTATTTTAGTTGCTTTCGTGCTCTGATAGATTCAAAGGGATGTTTGATCTTCAAGATTCAAGTAAGCGTTACTTTGTAAGGAAAGATTTGCCTGGTATACGACGTATTCTTTGTTATAGATTTTAATAGAAAGTGAGCTATAATTATCCTCAAATACTAGAAAAAATAGCTTCTCAGTTGAGAATGTTATATGAGTTGCTTTTATGCTCCAATCAGCTTAAAGAAATGTTTTAAGTTTGAGAGTAAAGATTCAAGTTAGAGTTATTTCGTAAAGAATTTGCACAGTTTTGACGTTTTCTGCGTCACTGACTTAAGCAGAAAATTAAATAAAAATTTATCATCAAACAATAGAAGAGATGGTTTCTAGTTTGAGACTGTTATATTGAGTTGCAATGATACTTCAATAGACCAAAAGGAATATTTTAAGATAGAATTACACATTTCTGAAGGAATTTGCTTAATTTTCGGTGCTTTCTTCATTATAGATATAGTAGAAAATGAATCAAAATTTGTGGTTCAATAATAGAAGGGATGACTTCTTGCTTGAGAATGTTTTTTTAATTGTTTTGATGCTCCGATTGGCTCAAAGGGATATACGCGTATCTTTTAACTAGAACCCCATTTAGCATTTCATTTCAACAAAAACAAATCTAGATAAAAACCACAAGAGTATTTTCTATACAGCTTGTTTCGAAATGATTCTACGCTGACTTTAAAATTTTAGCATAAAATAAAATTAATAAAACAACGCATAAAGCAATAAACCACTAACCTCTAGTTAATCCTTGCCAGTAATTAAAGGCAGTCTATTAAGTAATGAATTGATAAAATGATCATTATATTCGAATCGCTAATATGTTACAAAGTTATGTTTAAATATCTGAAAATTTGACTATCATGTCATCACCTAAATAGAACATTAACAGAAACAAACGAACATGTTATGATAACAATAAATATTTTTTTTTACACCAAGACGGTGACTATTCAAAATTTAAACATTCTGTGAATTCAGAAATCCCCTTCAAGAACGTTCTTTATGCTGTTAATCAATTAATTGAACAAAATTTGAAATCTAAAGTAAGGGTTTTTATAACAGAATCTGACTTAAAAATAAAGTATTAATCACAACGCCACGATATGTCCTATTTTTTATTGATTTTATAATATTTTTTGCCGATACTTTCTATATAAGGGCATATAAATAAAAATACAGATCTAAAATAGATGCCTCTATTTGGATCGTAATATTTCATATTGTTTATTAAGTAATCGCTCATATTTGTGTTTTGAAACCCAATCCATCAATCAATGGTAGTATAAGTACAGAGTTATTTGCCATAATAAGATTTCAAAAAGCAACATAGTATGCGCTCCTACCAGTTTCGTCAAACTATGCCATTGACAGCCTATTCGGTGATAGCGTGAAATTAGCAAAAAGAAAATCAAGTACATCCTGATGGCGCTGCTGAATTATAAAGTATTTTGGTTATTTTTAATCATTTTTATCCAAACTACCCTAGGTGAGCTATAATTTGCATACAGTATCATAATTATCGGTCTTCACATTCAAATAATCAACTATTCCCAGTATTACACATAATGGACTAAAAATTTGCTGAACGAACCTTAGATCGAATGATTAAATAAAAATCACTGCGTAGTTCAACATACGAGTAATTACTGTGAATAATTGAGCCTTTGGAAATAGAACATAAGCATACGTGCTATAGCGAACGACATATTTCTACGTACTGAGATAGCTTCCTTTTATTAAAGCGATGTCTGACTAGAACAAGATACTGTATATAAGTAATATGCAGGAAACTACGTTAGAACTGTGGAACGTAATAATTAATGTTGTCAGTGTTTTTATAAATAATCTTCTACCACCTTTTTCATGCCATGCACTGTTTCATAGAAGAGGTATTTGTAACCCTTTAATTTAAGAAAGCAGGCGAGATTACCTATTAAGCAATCAGGATTTTAATGCACGAGTATTAATCAAATCATTGGACTGCTATCTTGTCTTTTCTTTACTCATAATCAAACTTTTTGATCCTAGTAATCCAGTCTTTGATCGTACTTTGATGTTGCTTATACTGTACTAATTTATTTTTCAGTGATAAAATAGAATAGTACGAGTAAAATTAATAAAGTCCTTGACAGCTGATTGAAATCTTATTATTTCAATGCTGTAGCTGTCGATACGAGGTATTCAAGGATCACGTTATCACTGCAATAATAATAAAATACACATAAATTTATCTTCTCATTTTATTAACTGTATTCACTCCAAAATACTGATGCACATAGGTCAACAAAAATGTCCTCCTTCATTTCATGACGTTGGTATAGGCAATGTGAGACGTTGCTACAAGTTTATCGAAGAGAAAAAGCCTTGGATTGACGCTTTTTATGCATGCAGCCAAAATTCTAGTGCTTTAGCATCATTCGAGAATCAAGATCAATATAATTCGTTTATCACCACATTTAACTTTATTGCACCTTTAGAGCCGTATTGGCTTGGATATTATCACGTCTATAATACCCCTGTCGATGAATATATACGTGTAGGAAACTTGCCTTATATATACCATAACTGGGCTAGTGGATTTCCAACTGATATTCCCAATGCACCAACCATCTGTGCAGAATTCTTCTCAAGTGGAGAGTGGCTATGGTTCAGTGAAGACTGCCGGTTTAGTCGGTCATTCTTTTGCATGACAGGTTTACAACTATAGATTGAGTTTATTGAAAACATATCGATTAGTGCGCAAAATGTACAGAGGAGCCAATTCATGTTGAGATATTACGAAGTAAAAATTTTATTAAATAAAATAACCGAGACGAACACTTTCCATTTTTAAGTATGCTAATTAATTTCTACCGTAGAATTAAACTTTTGTGCTGAATATCCATGTAAAAATTATGGTACATGCACGAATTATGCAAATGGATATCAGTGTTCTTGTTCATCAGAAACCACTGGAATTAACTGTGAAACTCGTAAGTTTTAATTAGAAAGAAAAATTTGATAAAATAGATCATGAATCTTAATAGTATTTGTGTTATGTTGTTGGAGTTTCAGATTAGTATAAGCTTATAAATGATAAAATCGTGAAAAATAAGTAAGTTACTACACTATAGCACTCAGAATTTTTCTAATACTGATGATGTGACGAATTTCTTCTGCGACCTTAATTTATCGCGAGTCACGGATATCATCAACCTCGTTAAGGTTCTAATATCTGACATTCCGTGCGTTTATTATACAAATTTTTCAAATTATTACTTTTTATCAACCAGTTACAAGATATAGGTAGACCTAAAAGTAGTTTATTTTTCAGTTTTGGGTTGCGCTTCCATACCGTGCTTAAACGGAGGGTCTTGCTTTGGAAATCTCACGTCTTATCAGTGCACATGCCCTGCCGGATTCGTTGGCAGCAATTGTGAAATAGGTATCCTACAAATAAATTAGCTGAAGTTTTCTTGATAATGATTTATATCAGTGTCTGCATTATAGTTCCTACAATCTTCGAATTTTATTTCACTAAAAATTTATCCTCTTTCCGTCTAATTTTGTAACTATTCGCCCTAATGATTTGATTATGGAATATATTATTGCTAAATTAATGCAATATTACTGTAGTTTACTCAAGAATTTCGAAATATTTATGATAGAGTTTGAATATGATCCCTTTAATTCCCGAAATTATGAGCCTATAATCAAGAGTTTTCTGCATATTTTATGGACTTTAGATTTCAACGAATGCGCATCCAATCCATGCGTAAATGGTGCCAGTTGCATCGATCTAACCGATAGATACCAATGCAATTGTCCTCAAGGATATCAAGGGGAGCAGTGTCAAGAAGGTGAGAGACAACTTAAGAGTAAATCTTTGCAATGGTTTAATGAAAGAATCTTCGCCTCCAATTAATTGCATTTAATTTTAATTAACGGCAATTCTTTCAATCTGCAAATATCATAATAGCGATCAATTATTGTACATCTAATCCATGCCAACACATTTATGCTACGTGTGTTAACTCACCAACTGGGTATACTTGTAACTGTCCTCCTGATTGGACTGGCGAGCAGTGCGAAATAGGTTTGCTGAGTAGAAATAATTATCGCCTTATGATTCAAGTTAATTGATTAAATTAAATTGGTTGACGAAACTATTGGCACGAACAGAACTACATCCGAATGTATAATATAATGTTAGTACGATACTATCAATAATAAAATAATTATAACGAATTATCGAGCAGATACAGACTTTTTGCTTATAAATCTTCTATTTCATGAAGCATTATACCCCATGCATTCTATGCAGTCTACAAGAATACACGTATAATCTTAAAACTAAGTTTGCCTTAAAAAATTGGTTTATATGTAGGATACATCCAGTCTGGTCGTGGGATATGATTGAATAAAATTTCCCCAATAAGCGCTTATATTGATGCATGACAGTTTTTTTCTCATATAATTAGATGAAAATCAATGCCGTCTGCTTAAACCATGCCAAAATGGGGCCACTTGCAACCGTGTTGGCGTAACCGGCTATACTTGCATCTGTGCCGCAGGATTTACAGGCCAGAATTGTCAACAAGGTTGTAGATTAACCGAAAATTTTTCATTTAAACTCCATTGCATAAAATTGATTAGTATGCTAGAATTTTAGTAACTAATGTAAAGGGTTTATATCTCCTAATAGCATACAGTTGCAGTTAATAAAAATCTATATTAATCCTTAATAGATATAATTGACGAATGTACCTCTAATCCTTGCCTTTATGGTGGGACTTGTAGCAGTTATGGCAACCAATATAGTTGTACTTGTGCTAGCGGTTACACTGGAATAAGTTGCCAAACCGGTAATATAATTTTGAGTATAGAGTATTTATTCTGCCCACGTCGAAAAACACTGTATATTAGCATTATCTATTATTATTATTCTATCTATGTTTAATTTTAAGATGCTCAACACGCTATCGATATACTGCATAAAATAGTATTTTAATTGCAGACATAGATGAGTGTTATTATCAACCGTGCTACCATGGAGGAACGTGCATTGATATGGTAAACGGTTACCAATGCGTTTGCGGTGGAGGATATTCAGGAACAGATTGCGAAATAGGTACGGTAGCTAAAATGATATTTAAATTGTTAACACAAGATTAGGTCCAGTGGGCTGAATAAACTATACTTGATAATTAGAAATTAATGAATGCCAGTCCAATCCCTGCCACAATGGAGGAAGTTGTATTGACGGAGTGGGGAACTTCCAATGCCAGTGTGTTGATGGCTTTATAGGGTCAACTTGTCAAATTGGTATTATGAATGTATTTGACATGTGATATGTCATAATTAACTAATATACTGGATTGCAAAGAGCTATAAATATCATTTAAATCGACTATTTCTTGCCTTGTAATGTCTATGTATGAAAAGACGTTAACGAATGTGCATCTAGTCCTTGCCTCAATTCGGCCAGCTGTGTCGATCAGGTTAATAGATTTCAGTGCAATTGTCTTCCTGGATATACAGGAACTAAGTGTGAAACCGGTAACTATAGGCCTTAAAAGATTGATGATTTATTAGAATTTTAATTAATTACGGGTCATTTACGTACATTATCTGAATCATGGGTTTGATTCTTTGATAAATCTTAGAAATAAGTGAATGTCAATCCAATCCATGCATTAATGGTGGCGTGTGCGTCGACCAGATAAATAGCTATCAATGTATTTGCCCTCAAGGCTACACAGGCAATTCTTGTGCGGAAGGTATCTAAGAACTTTATAATTATCCAGTTAAACTTTTGAAGTGGAAGACATTATCTTCGCTATGCTATGTAAATAGGTTGATTTTTGTCTCAAATGCCTTTCAATCATTGACAACTACTAACCGTTATGCTATCGTAAGCATCAATGCACATCAGCTATGTACAGATTTACTACTATTGTTATTCACTTTTACTACTCTAGATGTCGATGAGTGTGCTTCGAATCCTTGTGTTCATCAATATGCAACATGTGTAAATGAAATACAAAATTATAAGTGTATATGCCCTCCTGATTGGACCGGGAAACAATGTGAAATAGGTAACAGTCACAGCTATTATATATAGCACTATTTATACTCACAGAAAGAGTCTAAAACAGGAATTATAAATGCATGATTTACATAGATGGTAATTTATGTCGAGCCGTCGAGCCCTGTCAAAATGGAGCAACATGTACATATATTGGTATTGGTTCGTACAATTGTACATGCATAGCAGGATATATTGGGGATCAGTGTGAAAACGGTACATTGACGTAGATTATGATATGATGTTAGAGTAAATAAAGAATATTTGTCAATAAAAATACTCACCTTCCATGAGAGAAGTGTTATGAAACTTGGATGCAAATTGATTATTAAAGAGACCCTTTGTAATACTTTGCCTCCATGATATTAGATATAGATGAATGTCTGTCTAAACCTTGCAAAAATGGTGGTACTTGTATAAACGATGTAAATAGCTACCGATGTCAATGTGTTACTGGCTATGCTGGATTAGATTGTGAGAAAGGTAAGAAAGACTTACCTTATGGCGGAATAGACCGAATTTAATGGTTTTTCATAATAATCTTATGATATTAACTTCTATCATATTCTTGCTTTACTAAAGAGATAAATGAGTGTTCTTCTTCTCCATGCCTTAACGGAGCAACTTGTAAAGAAGAGATAAATGGATATGTCTGTCACTGCCTGTATGGATATACTGGAGTGAATTGCCAGACTGGTAAGCTGTTGTCTATAATTGAGCCGAAATGGTTATCATCATAGTGAGAATAAAGTGCAGCCAATAATTAAGACTAATTCATTACTCTCTTTCATTAATTAATGCGTTTGTGGTCGAATTTACTCGTATATAAGCCTTAACCCCCTTTATGCAATTGATAAGTCATCAATAGTAATTCTTATCTGTATTAGAAATCAATCATTGCCTGTCTCAACCATGTTAAATGGTGGCAGTTGCATTAGTAATTTACAGAGCCATGAATGTTTTTGTAAAAGTGGGTATGTAGGCTATAATTGCGAAGAAGGTGAACCATTGTAGTTTCCACTTGGAAGCTTAATCTCAAATTTAATAATTATTTATCTATGAAATAGAGGCCTATGATTTCGACTCTACGTTACGAGAATACAAATCAAGCCAATTAAATTTTAGATACGATAGCTATGTCACATCGTAATCTATTAAAATTGTATACTCTTTACGGCTCTTACTGCAAAGTATACTAACTTACGAATTTCTAAGTAGATGTAGATGAGTGCCGTTTTAGACCATGTCTAAATGGTGGTACATGTACTGATATGATCAATGCCTATCAGTGCACCTGCAAATTAGGATATACAGGAAGCATGTGCGAATCAGGTTAAGTAGGATTCTTTATTGCTATTCCATTTAGTGTGATTTATTTAATTTCTGGCAATTTCGACAAGTATCTTTATATCATAACTTATATTAATCTCTATATAGAAATCAACGAATGCTTATCACAACCATGTCAGAATGATGGTAGCTGCGTAGATAGCTTGAATGCTTATCAATGCGATTGTCTTGTAGGATACATAGGAGTTCATTGTGAAACTGGTAAAATAGGCACCTATAGTTTTAATAGCTTATTAAATACCATACGTAAATTGATCTTTTAGTCTGTTATTGCGATGATAGCTGAATATCATTTAAACTGTTTGGTGATAATAAAATCTATTGGTAATTGTCAAAGATGTGGACGAATGTCTAAGTAACCCATGCAAAAATAGTGGCATTTGCTTAGATATGGCAAACGGCTACAGTTGCATCTGTGGGGAAGGCTATACAGGACACCAATGCCAATCAGGTTATCTAATTAATTAAAACTACCCAATTGCTAGGAAACTAATGTTCAAGTATCTATAGATTACAATGAATGTCTCTCACTTCCATGTCAGCATGGTGGACTTTGCGTTAATGGAATAAATAATTATAAATGCAATTGTTCGAAAGGATATACTGGCAATAATTGCCAATCAGGCAAGTATTGCTATATACTCGTACATATGCTAACATTTTCTCATTATAATCAAATTTCAATGATGGCAAAAATTCTGGGGTTTAAGCAGAATTATTTAAATTACAATTTAAGTATTAAATAATCTGTAATAGAGATAAATGAATGTATTTCCAATCCTTGCCTAAACAACGCATCTTGCCAAGATCAAGTTAACAAGTATAAGTGCCTGTGCAGATCTGGTTATACAGGAACAGAATGCCAATCAGGTAATGAATTAATATTTGAAAAATTCATTTAGTGGAAAATTTACTAAAAAAACTAGTACTACGTGTGGCTTTCGCTAATGAGTATACATTGCAGCATAGTACGTTAATTTCGTTCTAAAACTACGAGACATTATTGAATATTCCTCTCAGCCATACCTATACAGCGGTAATTGCGTTGGTGGAGTAAATGCATACCCTTGCAGCTGCGTGAATGGCTTCACCACCCTAGTAGTCACTGTCAGTCATGTATACCAAAGATTAGCCGTATCTGTTTCAACTACTCTCTCAATGTACTGATGTTTAGATACCGCACTTGTTTTTATTACACGTTAGGAAAAATGGCACATTTGATATATCATTTTGTTTATTAATATGATGAAATTGTAAACCTTGATATTTGTTAAAATTTAAAATCTTATTAGATATAAATGAATGTGCGTCGCAACCTTGCCAAAATAGCGGGATTTGCATCAATGGAATAAATAAATACGCTTGCAATTGTTCAAAGGGCTTCGCCGGTGATCAGTGTCAATTAGGTAACGTATAGAAGCAAATTTAAAGCTTACTGCAATCATTCTAGTAAAGTAATCTATTACTTGGTGGTATCCAAATTAAAAAATTCACTACAACACAGTTTTCGGATAATTAATTGTCGATGTTACTACTGATCACAAAATGAAATTATTGCATCGTGTAAAATAGACATCAATGAGTGCTCATCTCAGCCATGTCGAAATGGGGGTACCTGCGTAAATAATATCGATAGGTACAGTTGCCAATGTTCCGGTGGCTACCAAGGGATAAATTGCGAATTCGGTCAGTATGATTTAATATAACATTCATACTCAATATGAGTAATCCATTGTTGTTATCTTCATATCAGTGAATAATCCTAGAAACTGTTTTCACTATTATATCACAGAAATAGACGAATGTTTATCAAATCCTTGTTTAAACGATGGAACTTGTATTGATTCTAATAATGGTTATACATGCAGCTGTAAAGCAGGTTTTTCAGGAGCATTATGTCAGTTAGGTAGGTAACGTGTTCAATCTAATACTTACAAAAAAATAACATTCATACCCGATTTGAGTACAGTAATCTATTATTATTATTACACCTCTGAATAAAACTAACAATAATTTTTACCACAACTTTACAGAAATCGACGAATGTTTGTCAAATCCGTGTTTAAACGATGGAACTTGTATTGATTCGAATAATGCTTATACGTGCAGTTGTAGAGCAGGTTTTTCAGGAGCATTATGTCAGTCTGGTAAGTAACGTCATTAAATTAAATACTAACGACCATTCTACATTTAGTCACTAATTCAGAAACGATTTCAGAAATATATCAACTAAGTGTATAGCTTTTATTGTGACAGAGATAAATGAATGCATTTCGGAACCATGTCAGAACGATGGTACTTGCATTGATGATTTAAGTGGCTATATTTGTAGCTGTAGAAGTGGTTTCGTCGGTACCAGTTGTGAAATTGGTTAGAAATGATAAAACACATTGTTAATACCATATTCTCGTACTCAGAGTCTTCTCGCAGTACCTTCAAAATAAGCTTTAACATAGTATCTACAGAATAAGCACTTTAATGAGTAGATATGGCTGCTAAAATTTTCGTTTCATAACGTCATCTTAAATAGAAGTTAATGAATGCGTACCGAACCCTTGCAAAAATGGAGGTACCTGTGAGGATTTGATAGATAGCTATAGATGTATTTGTCTACCTGGCTTTGTAGGATCAACATGCCAACTAGGTAATTAAAAGCTGGTTTATAATTTGGAGTAGCTGCTTTTCTATTAATTTGAATCATTAGCTAAAAAAATCCTTATTTTCAATTTTTGAATAACAGAAGTTAACGAATGCGCATCGGAGCCATGCCGAAATGGCGGTACTTGTATCGATGACGTTAATGGCTATATGTGCAGTTGTAAAAATGGCTATGCCGGCATTCAGTGTGATATAGGTCTAGAATGAGATGCTTATATATTAATTTTTACTTGACTGTTCCTCTTCCACTATGTTCGAAAAAAGTGAACCTACTTCATAACTGCAATCCAAAATCTTTTGTTGTAATTAACATTGTAGATATAAATAAATGTATACCTAATCCTTGCCGAAATGGAGCTACCTGTTTGGATCAAATTGGTAATTACTCCTGTATTTGTCAGTCTGGTTTTTCAGGATCTTTATGTCAAACAGGTACGGTGCCTCAAAATTTAATAATGGAACATGTGAGTATAAAATTTTTGTTTTTATCACTGCGATATCGACGCCTCAAATTTCGTATCCTTTATAGATATAAACGAATGTTTATCCGATCCTTGCAAACACGGCGGAGTGTGCTTGGATGAGGTCAATGGTTACAGATGCAATTGCACAAATGGTTATGTTGGAGTACACTGCCAGACCGGTAAATAATAATATAATTCTCTAAATATCGCAATTATCTGTGTTGCTATTTAATGAACTTATCGCCAAATTCTAAAATAGATGTAGACGAGTGCTTATCGATTCCTTGCAAAAATGGTGCAACTTGCATCGACTTAATAGATAACTTTAATTGCTTGTGCAAAGATGGTTATACTGGAACAATCTGTCAAACGGGTCTGACTTAATGATGATACCTGTTATTAATATGAGCAATTATGATAAATAATTCTTATCGAAACTGGTTTGTCGTATAAATTCGATCTAAGGATATGCAGTTTTCTGTTACGATTGATTTTGTAGAAATTGACGAGTGCCTATCTACTCCATGTCAAAATAGTGGGCATTGCATGGATGATATTGCCGGTTACCGATGTAACTGTTCGTCAGCTTTTACTGGTATTCGCTGCGAGTCAGGTATTACCAGTAGTAAATTCTTGCAGTACAGCAGGCTATTTGGTAGCTTTGATAAAGGAAATTGCTCTGCACTTACCGTACTATAATCAGAATTAAAGGTTTAATTCTGGAACCATAAATTCTTATTTAGAAATCAATAAGTGTGGCTCGAAACCTTGTCTGAACGATGGCGTTTGCATTAACAATGCCCGTGGTTACGCCTGCATTTGTAAATCAGGTTTTACAGGAACAACATGTCAGTCAGGTACAAGTTACGTAGTTAAGTTTTTTTATCTAATAATCACAATCAAGTATGCGATGAAATATAAAAATTGGTAAGATTATAGTAGTTTTACTTGGAATATTGTCCCGATTTTTGATGACACTTTCGGAAGGGATATAAACGGTTATCATGTCGAGAGGATAGAATAGTTAAGATTAACATTTCTTGATAATTGCTTTACTTGTAAATAGTAAATGTAGATAATACTTAGAATGATATAAAGATATGTATAATTAAGAATAAAGATACAAGGTCTAATTTCATATTCTTTAAACTGAAGAGCAAAATTCATGTCATTCTAATCCTTGTCGCCATGGAGGTACATGTCATCCATCGCTGAATGGGCATACTTGCACATGTAATTTCTTATTTACCGGTAATAACTGTGAACAAGGTATGAAATATTTTCGTTATCATTTGATTAAATTTTATTTTAGCAAACATAGATGATAGATGACTATCATTGGAATGCTTAGTTTGTGTATGTCTTTTGCACTTAAATTCAGCATATTTATCTACGCTGTACGCTGTATTGTAATGTATCAAAGTAAAGTCAAATAGCAGTATATTGTTGTGTGCAGCATGTAAGTTCTAACATTCTAATTAATTACGTTCCTTGCATTATACAGAAATTACCCTTATTTCATCAATGTCTGCTATTGAATATGATTTCTTACCGGGAACTATCCTGATTATATGGCAAGTTTACGCTTATGAATTATTGGCAATCCATTTTAATTTTAGCCTTTACTATAAGGAAATTAAAGCAACAAATGATCCTCTAAAGAAATCTCTTAAGGCTTTGGAAACTTCAAAGCAGGGAATAATTTATACACATCTACCAATAAGGCAAGCAGGAACATATATTTTTAGCGTTACCGCTCGTAAAAAGGACACTGTCCTTGCCAATCAATCGATTGCTTATGACGTTGCAGGCTCAGGTAATTAATGGTATTGTGGATAATCTTACTTATCCGTACTGCACGAGTATGTTGACCTTCAAACCATTACTTCAAATGTAGGACTATTAAATTTAAAATCCAGCGCTGCAAAATTAGAAGGCAAAGTATCTCCTGTTGGATTAACGACTGATTTAATCGGGCTAATTATTCATGGTAGTATTGCACTAATCTTGGCGATTGCCGCCATTACGGTAGTAGTGTCTTTCGTCAACAGTACACATAACAGGCCGCATAGGCGTTGATAAAGTTACTAACTGCCAATGTGATCAAGTCAACTTCTAAAATGTAATGTATGGGTAGTAATATAATTACTCAATAAAGAAAGCAGATTCGAGAATAACAGTTGAAATATATTCTAAGTTCGCGTTGCAAATATTACAATGCAGATATTTAAAGTTTAGCTGTTATGCGCAGTATTCGATGTCCGTAATATAAGCTATTTATTATTAGCATAGATTACAGATACCCATTCTCACGTTATTTAGTAGATTTTCTCCATTATCAGATATCTAGAACTGCATTTTCTTGTAATACATTCTGCTGTAATAATATAACGTATGGTATTCATAATATCAGTGAAAATAGGTGAATAGCTGAAAGATCTAATTTATCAAATAGTAAATATAAATTAATTTTAATAAGCCTTTATTGACTAATAACTTGGCCAACTATATACGGTAGTTATTACAATGTGTCATGTTATTCCGTATTCAGTTTGCGTTGCTTGCACTGAGCTAGAGAATTGTGGATGTGCTTTAGAACTGCTATTATCAAGCTAAGTAATGGTAATCGGGAGCTAAAAGCGCTATGAAATATTCCATGTCCTGTTTTATTCCTGTAATTTATTATGCGACAGGGTTCGGATGTTATATAATTAATTTTTAAGCTTAGTAGTGTATTCTCCACTTAACGTAACACACGTTTCAGGACGCAAATATGCAAATTTTCGAATTGTGGTAGTGCTCGTAAATTTTAAGCGTATGGGTCTGATTAAGCAGTACGATAAATAAAGTGTCTAGGTATATAAGTGTAACAGAACTCGATTCAAAATGCTATAGGTCACATTTACTATCGTTGACAGAGCAGTGCTACTCGTAGTACAGGGCTAGAAAGCCAAAATTACTCGAATTTTTCCTCGTAGAGTTAGTTGTACGGCGAGCTATAGACATTACAACACAGCACTGCACCTAAGCCCAAGAAATCTTTATCAATTCGATTTCTTTTCTTCTTGCTGTTACTTAATCACATTTACAGTACAATACTTAAAATAAATAATCTTACACGAGCCCCGCTCTAGAATAAATACTGACCATGGGGTTTATAGCAAACTCTAGTCTTAGATCGAGCT